TTCATACATCCATTGGTGGGTGTCTGCAGGGGGGGGGGTGTTTATCTGGCAAATGATGTTGGTGAGACAATGTGGGTGATTGGGTGAATTTGGTGTTGACAAAGTGTTCTTTGAGATTTTTGTGACATTGGTATGCTATGACCGGTTGTTCTGGCCATACCCGTGATAAAACAGAATCGGTTTCAATATAATGCCAGTGTTGTGTGAGAGTGATGCGAGATCTGGATTGTACAGAATGACGAATGGTAATGTTCGTGTGTTGTTTTTGGGTGTGGTGTTTATTGTTTATTGCCAAATCTTTCACTCTTTGCAACTTTGAGCTTGTTCGAATTTTGATGAGTGAGTTTGTTGGTTTGACAGTTAATATTTGCTTACTCTCTTTAGAATACAAGAGGCTTATTTCAAGCATACAACTTAACTGAAAAAAAAATGAAGTGTACATAACATGTATTGATGAAATAATAATATTTGCACCCTAATTTACATATTTATGTAAATTATATAGCTGTTATTGTAAATCAAAAGAATAAAAAGAGGGCTACAATCTACTATTCCAAAACAAAATTTCCAAACATACTGCAACTTCTTGATAAAATGCATTCCAACCACTCTGTCGTTTGATGGAAACTTTCTTGGAGTTTCCCGTTGAACTTTCCGCCATTGTTTCTTCACCTGTCCTGCATAATACACATGATTCAATGCGGACAGGGAAGGCATCGACTGTTTCGGAAGGCATCGAAAGGGAAAATTACAGGTACAGTTCATCTTTCCATTATCAAAAAGAGTGACAGAATTGTGGCAGGCTGATGATCGACTATGATCTGACAACCTGTTCTAAAACATGTCTTTCAAAGCTCTGTTTGCTTAACCAAAATTTAAAATGCCTGACACTCTCAAGTCACTTAGAGCAAAAAATTATGAACTAAAAAAGACATGTTAACCAATTGAAGGGAGATTTTAAAAGTCCAAAATTTAAAATGCCTGACACTCTCAAGTCACTTAGAGCAAAAAATTATGAACTAAAAAAGACATGTTAACCAATTGAAGGGAGATTTTAAAAGTCTTCACGATTTGTCCACTGAGAGTAAGGCGGTGGCTTCGCAGTCACAGCCAACAATGCTGAGATGTTCAAAACCCTCGATTACCTTGGCAACGAAAATGATTACCTCAAGCGTTTTCGCACATTTGCTGAGAAGGAATTTGGCACATTTAATAAACGTCTACAAGAATTGACGAACCGTTCTAATGAAATTGCCAGTACAAAAATATAGTTATCAGTATAACCTAAAAATAATCGGGGTTCCTGAGCAAAATCAAGATGGAGAATCGACTGAGGTCACAACAAATATATGTATTGCTTATTTGAAAGAATGGGTGTAAAAGTCAATGGCCATGATATCGATATTGTGCACCGATTACAAATAGAGACCAATCGTTTGCAAATTTGTTCGTAGGCTGGTAAGAAATTTCTTGGATGATAGCATCCTCATACCCAGGGTCTTTTTGGGAAAGACCCTGGTATCGGATGGTCACGTGACTCAACAAAAATTAATTGCCCATGGGGGAGTGGCAAAGTATCAAATTACATGCTTCCACAGAAAACATTAAATTTCAAATACCAAGAGTGGGGATTTTATGATTTTATGACATTAAAATGGCGGATTTTTCAGAATTTTAAGCACCATATCTTTGCATTGCTTTGGTGTACTTTCAATGTTTTTACAGTTCTGAGATCCTTATAGGACAATCTCTTCAAAAAAGTTCCTAGCATGTTCTTAGCTTCTGTTTAATTTTTTGGCGCCAAAGTTGGTACGTCATTTTCCCGCCAAAATGTAACAAAATCAAAAAACAAAAATGATAGGATTTTTAGGAATGGCAAGTTCTATCCTGTGAGGAAGTTTCTTGACATTCCAAACTAATGACAGAAAGTTATTTGTACGTGGCCGAATTTGCTGTCTTTTGTGCCAACCGTGCTTGCTAACTTTGATCAGTTTAGAGCCTTAAATGCAAATTTAGCACATTTCCTTTGTCATTGGAGTGTCTGATACATGGCTTAGTGATGACATGCTTGACCAAGTATCTATCTGGTTATAATTTCATCTCTAATCATTGTCAAGGTAAAACAGGCGGTGGAGTAGGTCTTTATTGAAGTGATCATTTCCAGTTCAAACTAATTCAAGATTGCAAAACTGTTTACCAACCACCCAACCAAAATCTTGCCTGTTTTATTGAATATTTTAATAAAATACTTTCAATAATTTCCAACAACAATAAACAATGCTATATAATGGGTGATTTTAATCTAGATTTATTTCGCTATGATATCAGAACACCCATTTACACAGGAATTTTTAGACCCGTTGTTTTCACATGTTTATTCCTCTTATTAATAAGCCTACGAGACTAACTTCTCACTCAGCCATATTAATTGACAACATATTCACAAACTGTTCTTCACAAAATATCGTAAATGGAATTAGTGTGAATGATTTATGTGATCATTTACCTGTCTTTGTTTTTTCCACTACTGAAACAGTACCACACAAACATGTAAACAAATATTTTATACGTAACTGCAATGAAATTTACTTAATCAAACTTGGAACTACCTTATCTCGGGTGGACTAGATTAACGTTTTACCGGGAGAAGATCCGAATGAGGTGTTTGAGTCATTTGCAATAGAATATCACAAACATTTTGAGAACTGCTTTCCATTAAAAATATCAAAAAAGCAGAATTCATCTAGGCAACTGAGATTGCCCTGAATTACTAAAGGATTACTGGCTTCCATCAGGAAAAAGAATAAGTTGTATAAAAGATACCTGCAAACCCTACTTCACTTTGTGATTCCCAATACAAGAAATACAAAAATAAGTTGAATCATTTACTTAGAATAGCCAAAAAATGACAACCAGTTTGAATCGCCTAAAAAACATCGGAAGAAAACATGGGAAACTTATTAATGAAGTTATTAATTTGAAAAATAAAAAAACGTCATTACCATCTTCATTTAAATGAATTTATTGACATAGCAAATGGTTCTGCAATTATTTCACTGGCATTGGTTCATCTCTTTCGTTAAGTTAGCCTTGCCATCTGGGGACCTCACTGGCAATATTAGCGACCTTAAGCACACGCCTTTTTATGACAGGAATGCTCGACGGAGTCTGGACACCAGGTTTTGCTTGCATTTTCCCGTCGCCATCGCTGCCTACAATGGGAGTTGAGTAGTTTTGCCATTGTAGCAAAAGTGTGAAGGGTGCGAAAATCTTTTTTTCACAAAAGCAGTGTTTTAAACCCAGGTAAGTTCTGTATTTTTTTGGAACATCATTTTTTGAAAAAGCAAACTTTTTTGTACTTATTTTAAGTTTATTTATCATTTAAACAAGGTCAAAGAAAGGTCAGGATATTTAATTATGCAAGCCGTCACGGGACCGACACAAAAGGCGCCGACCAAGTGGGTAGTGACCGCGTTAAGTAATTTCAATTCACACTTCATAAATAACATTCTGATATATGTCGGTCATAAATTCGAATGTACATTTTTGTGTCGTATTTTGTTATGCCGTCGCCAGAGAAAAATAGAACATATTGATAAAAATTCTAGGCCTAAGGGCAATGGAAACACGTGGAATGTTGTATTATACTTATAGTTTTTTAAATCAATCAACTGAATCAAGGAAAGAATAATCGGTCTTTCTGAATTCTGGTATATTTTTGAAATATACAAGTTCGTGACATTTATGAATCTGGTCAGACTGAATGAATGTGGCATAACATTCAAAAACAAAGCTCTCTCAGCGTGTCAGGAAAAGAACCATATATTACGACTATATTTACAAAAAGGGTTTTACTAGCTGTGGTAGTTTTTTTCATCTGAGATATGTTAGTCAGAAAGAAATTGTTTACTTTTAGCATTACGACTATATTTACAAAAAGGGTTTTACTAGCTGTGGTAGTTTCTTTCATCTGAGATATGTTAGTCAGAAAGAAATTGTTTACTTTTAGCGCCTCTCAAGAAATATGTTAATTAGCTATAAATTATGCAAAAATCATTGATTATGGGCTCCAGAAAATCTTAACTCATGCCAACTACAGATTGATACCGCAGGTTTTTCTTCAGATCTTCTGAAAATAGGTATAAATCATTACAGCCAAGCACATTTCAGCGTATTTTTAGGTCCCCATTTGGAGATCTCAGGCTTTGATTTTAGTGTAATTTTGTGGACCGAACAAGAAGCAAAAACCGGTGTGCTGTCAAGTTGCTGTCGTTTATTCATGATTTATTCAAATGCTCTTATTTTTTTGAACAGGGAACCTGAATTGTATCTTCACTTGTTGATCTAGTTGAAATTTGGAAATAGTCAGGCGTTTTGACTCAGCACGGCTCTACAATTTACCGAAATTCAACCTTCGATTTTGCTTGAAATTAGCTCTGCACGGGTAAAATGAGTTTCGGCGTCTAGCAAACCCATAAAAAAGAATTTTCAAAAAATTCATTTATTTTGGACACTTGTATACCAATGCCTTTCAACACACAAAAAATAGAGGAAATCTATTTTCCGAAGTCAAAGTCATCGGACCGCTTTTAGCGGGACTGCCATTTAAGTTTTCCGACTATGGAGGGTGTTTTAATACTACAACTAGGGGAATTCAGTTTCAGCATCGGTGGCAATACAGGACTGACAACTCTTCACACAAAAAAGCCTGCATGAGTGCATCACCTTTGAGACGAAAGGACTTTAAATATAGTTTAATATACTTTGCCAAATTGAAAAACAATGGCAGGCCAAGTTTTACAATTAGAAAGGCTCCATATAGTCTGTATGATTGTGTCTTGTGAATCAGAATATAAATAACATAGACTAGTTGATACTTGATAGTACTGTATGTTGCCATATATTTAAATAATTAACCACTCTAGCACACCATTGTCATTTATCATTTTAGGACTATTAAGATGGGGACACCAATGATATGGACGGATCTCCATGATTAAATGCTATGCAGAGAAATAATTGGGGTGGATGTTTTTACAGGAACAAAGAAGGGAACGGTTAAGCAGAGTGAGAAATGGGGTGAGGTGGTGGAAAACTTGTCAGCTGTGGAGTGTTTACACTTCAAAGTTGACAAGCCGGCTGTATGGGATCAGTACAACCTACTACAGAGCACCTATCGAAGGAAATTGAAGAAAAAAGCAAGTGGAATGGCTGTGGAGATGACTGAGGTGGAGAGGGCATTGGAGTTTGTTATGGAGAAGGAGGATGCTGCTGAACAGCTACAACAAGAGGGAAAGTTAAAAAAGTCACCAATGAAGCTGAGAAAGTTAATGCAGAAGATGTAAGGAAGAAAGCTACGGAGAGTCTTGGTGAAACACAAAAGAGGAAAAGCACTGAAAGTGGAATAACACCAAAGAAGAAAAAGAGAAGCAACAGGAGTGACACAGTCAGGTATTTGAAGGAGAAGCACGAGAAGATGTTGGATGTGGAGGAGAAAAAGCTAGAAATGTAAGAAAAAAAATTGAGACAGCAAATCAAAGGCATGAGGAGTTGATGATGACCCTGCAACAACAACAACAGCACCAAAAGGAAACATTTCAGGCAATGATGATTCAACAACAACAACAGATGAATATGCAACAAACACAACAAAATGAATTGATTGTTGAAATTGTTCGGTATGTTGAACAACAAATAATTTAACAACTTGTATTAACATTTTAAAATTTATATGCCACAGTATTATGTTTTATTTAAATGGTACAAAATTGAGTGTTAAAAAAATGTTACAACAACGAATGTTCTTAATGCAATTAAGATATTATCCAAGCGTGGGCACAAGATATTATCCAAGCGTGGGCAGACCCACGCATTAACATACCTGAGTCTTTCTACACTGTGAAAATTTGATATATATATATATATATATATATATATATATATATATATATATATATATATATATATATTTGTTTTAATTTCAGACTATGGCCCCTTAGCCTTGTTTTCGTGTTTAAGCTTATGTCCACATTTATTGGTCAAAATCCAAAATTATTTTTTATATATATATATATATATATATATATGTTTTAATTTCAGACTATGGCCCCTTAGCCTTGTTTTCGTGTTTAAGCTTATGTCCACATTTATTGGTCAAAATCCAAAATTATTTTTTATGCATGTGTTGGAAAACGATGTTCTGCTCCTCTGACCATAGCCACTGAAAAAACCCTTAAAATCCATTCCATTGAAGATGCATGGTGCTAAGTTGAAAACAGTGTTAGTCGTGACGTAATTACCGGAAAGGTCTATTTAGATACCACACCCATGCACTACTAAATGAATTTGTTTACCTGGCACTATCAGTTGGAGTAAAATTTGCTGAAGCAATTACAGTTCCAATGGGCTGTTGTACTCCTCTTGTTATACCCTTGCTCATTGCTCCTCCAAATAAGTCAATGAGCAGCTCACTAACATTTTTACTTGATTGGGGATCATCCAATCCAATTGGCACAGTCTGCTTTGACAGGATGGAGATGTAGCTTTCTTTGGTACCTCGGGAGTAAAAATTAGGTTCATGAGCACCAATAATGCTCAGTGCTGCAAATAATCCTGTTGTCTTTCCAGTGCCAGATGGTCCGTATGCTACGGCAACTGGGCAATTCTTGTTATTTTCCAAAATGGTGAGGTAATGCCAAGACATGGCTCCTGCATCCAACATTAAGATGGCACTAAAGGCATTGTGTTCCAAAAGTGGAAATAGTTTTAGGATTAGGGGCTCTAATGCCATTGGTGTAAGTGGTGTTGCAACTTCACACCTGCTGTGTAGTGCGGCAATAGTGGAATGGGAATAAATGCTTGACAGCCAAATGTAATTGGTGTCCTCTGGTTTCAGGAGCTCACCAACTTCATTAATAAAAGTCCCTTCAATCAGGATCCAGATGTTATCTCCTGGTTGTTTGCCAATAATTGTTGCAATGTTCTTAGTTGGAACATCAGTTCTCTTTCGGTGTTGTATGTACTCATTCATTTCTCAATCATTTAGGGAACACATGACTTTCTCCACTACTTGTTGAATTAAAGTCTCTTAAAAAATATTTTTTCGTATTAATCAACTCCATATTGAAAAATGCACCGTAAAACAGAAGTTTTTAAATTAATTAATTATTTAGAAATTAGTGTTAAATACGAAATGGATTTAAAAATGCCCTGTCTGTACTGGAACTGTTACTCCAATATGAAAGAAAGGGAACCTGCTTAAATGATGGGACTATAAATTGTATTATTATTTATTGAAAAGATCTGTGCTTCGGTTTCAGTTGATAACATAAACTTCTGGCTTGCTAAACCTCATTCAATAATTGTTAAAGTCTAGTGAAGTAAAAACTTTATAACCATACTTGGTTGGTGAGCTGTCAGTTCCCTCCGCCTTCACGGAACAAAAATATCCACTTATACCAGGTGATTTTGTACACATGCTGAATGTAAAAGCAAAATCAGACTTTGGGTTGTATGTCCCTTCTTTTTTGTCCATTATGCCAAATGTGTTGTTTTCATAGTCATCATAGAATGACGACTTTTTACTTCTTTCTCCAGGTGATAGACACTGTAACACATTAGAAAAGTAAATATTGTTATTTATAATTTATTCAACCTGTAACCAATCACGTTTTAAAAAAAACAACTTTAACAAACTAAGGGAGGGTTCATAATTTACCTAGAGGGGGGGCTATGGTGATTTTGAGGGGGGGTCATCATTTTTTAACATTGCAATAAAGGGGGGGCTATCAAAAATTGCCTGGAAATATGGCAGGTGCTTGGGGGGGGGTCACTAAAACGTTTCCTAATGTTTTCATTTGCATTTAAATTTTGAATTTAGTAATTTTATAATACCATACCGTAAACCTCCGATTATAAGCCCTGGGCTTATATAAGTTCGTAATCGTTTTTTGATGGGCTTATAGACGGGGGGCTTATACATGGACCATCGTTTGTGTTAGTAATAAACTGTCAGGAGAATAACCATACATTTAATGCATTCTGGTGAACAATTATTAGCATATTAAGCTATAAAGACAAGATTTTTTTAGTAAACGTAGTGTGGGCTTATATTGTGGTGGGCTTATATTCGGGGAGCTTATATTTGGAATGGTGTGAACGTTAGTAATGTGATGGGCTTATAGACGGGGGGCTTGTATTCGGGCGGGGGCTTATAATCGGAGGTTTACGGTAATTTCATAACACATAATTAAGAAAATAATAATATTAAATTATGATTAATACTTATGATATTACAATATTAGGCGGAAATGCAGTTTTGCTATGAAAGCAACTATGTAGGTCTAGATGACAGATTTAGTTCATATTAACTTAATACAATCCTTTGAATAAAAGGAACACATTCAATATCAAGTTTTACAAGAATAGCACACAACAGCATGTGGGCATTAAATTAAGAATCCAATCAAATTAAAATTTGATTGGTCTATCTGCATTTAAATTGCAAATATAAATTAAATTGAAGCCTATTCATTTCCCAACACAAAGCTAGATGCCTTCCGTCCACTTCTGGTGCTGACCATTCGTCTCTTAGCGGATGGTGGAACTGGTTCGTAGTCGCTTTCTTCGGTTTCGCTATCAACCATACCATCACTGCTACACAATCGTTCATCGTCACTACTCCACGTTTCTCCTACAATATCGATGTCATCTCCATCAGTTTCTTCTTCATCATCGGATACGTTTTGGCCAGGTTGTAAAAGACGCTGGCCTTCCACTGTCATTGTCTGCAATACTTGTCCTCTTGTTTGTTGGAGGTGGTTAGTAATTGTGCGAATTTTCTCAGTTTTCAACTTTTTCTTCCAGGGAAGAGAGTGGTGTTTTAAGTACGTATCAAGTTCAAAAACATAGAGAAACTTCAGCCCTCCAGTTAGCAGAAGTTCATCCCAGTTGTAGTCCTTGTAGCATTTTGCTTCACGGTTCCGTCGGTTATCTGCTTTTGCTTTAGTTCGCAACTCTTTGGTAAAGTTGATGTGCTTTAGATGGTCCACATATTTTTTTACAAGTTCCTCAGATACCACAAATTTGGATGAAAAATCAGCAACTTCTTGCGCTGTATTCAATTTTCCTGCACTAAAGAATTTTTTTATTTGTGCTCTGGGCATATAATCATCAATAGGACGCAGCTTCCCGTCTGAAGATGTAGCAGGAGATTCAAAAACAGTTTTGTACCTAAATGTAGTTTCATCGGGGAATGGGCGTGGTATTCTATCAATTTGAGAGCCAGTCCAACCACTTGCACATGCAGCGCATTGCTTCTCAGCCTTAACTTTACAGGCATCCTTGACAAACTCCATATAAAGCTCACCGACATCATAGTGATCTTTTATATAGTTACAAATTTTGGCAATATAGTTAGAACCGGGTATATTCTCTTTTGAACTTTCGGATGCCTTTATATAATCTTGAAGTTGGTTTTTGTTGAAAAAGAATGTCTCCTCGTCCTTCTCTGTTACAAAGCCTCTTATATATTCCGAAAGAACAGGAGCATCGTCAATCCGCAAAGCTATATCGTGGGCAACCCGCCAGGCGTTTCTCTCCGTCCTTTCGTCTTCATGTGTTTCATACTCAGCTAGAGTTATCTTCTCGATATCCTCATCTGATTTGTCATAAAATCGGTCATAATACTCCCATTTTATTGAACCGCCATCAATAACCGCATCTCCAACCGCAGAATTAGTTCGTTCTGCTTCCCCCTGACCGCTGTCTTCGCGAGCTCGATGTAGTCTGATGCGGTAGTCAGAATTCCAAATTCTTGACAATTCAGCATCTCGGAATTTGACCTCAAAGTTTGAAATTGCAACTCCTGGTCCTGCATCAGTCAGGTCACACCAACGTGGTCTAACTGCAGGAAGATCTAGCTCTTTCAAACCTTCAAGTAGCGACTTACATCTCTGCTGCAGGTTCTGTATTTTGCTTGCAATGGTACAAGATTGATCGTGGTTCGGATCTGCAAGGAAGTTTTTTGCATCTTGCAAACTCACAGAGATTTTGTTTGCTAATGGTTCAATTCTTGAAGCTAAAATGACTTTCTCACCGTCCTCTAGGCATTCATTGTTGTTTACCTTTAAAGCTTTGTCAATTCGTGCAGATAATCTTTCTAGTCTTTGCCTTTCGTAAGACGTGTGTGGATTATCTGGAATTCCAGGCCTCGAACGACAAATGTCCCTAGGTTCGCACATGTCATTGTACAAGAATATTGCGTCGTGTAGATGTGCGCATATGGATCGAAACGCAGATGAATAGTCGTGTTTGTTATCGGGTATTTCAAAAATACTTGGATACATGAATCTAAGATTCATTGTTTCACTTGCCCACACGGTGCCACTAGAGCCAATAAAAAATTTCGGACGGACAAACACAAAGTGGTAGTCATCGTCAGTGATTAGTTTCTCAGTACCGTCAATTGTTTCTCCTATTTTAGAAAAGATGCGATGGGCTGACGGAGTTATGTACATTTTCCTCTCTGGCCAATCATGAATAGGAAGTTTTCAAGACCTCTCCTCTGCAGTAGGTTGTAAAATTCTCTGGTTTCTAGCGTGGTTCATTCCTTCGCCTGTTCCAGGTCTTATGTATGCTTTGTCGTCTACTGACCGACAAAAGCAGTACTTTCGGTTGCTTTCATTTCTGCGAGAGAAGAATAACATTTTAACGTTATTAACGTGAGCCCTCTGGTGATGGGTGGACTCATTTTCGCAATGTTCGGTTTTAGGCGGCTTTTTCATACAGAATAATCCTTTTCCCAGATGGAGCTTTGCTTGAATAGAGTTTTTTCGCCGAGGTTCAGACCGATTCCAAACAGTAGTTTTTGAAGTGATTAAAGGCTTTCCCGCTAAAGCCAAAAAGTGGTTTGCAATGCCAGGTAAATCAGCGACTTTTACGCGACGGTTTGTATACATTGTTGTGTTATGACGCCGTCCATGATACGTCGCTTTGTCTTCAATTGCTTTTGCAATTTTCTCTTCTGTGTCGCTATCAATCAAGGACTTCCTTCCTTGATCCCCAAGTTTTCTTTTACCAACTCGATTCACGGCAAGAAGCTGTCGTGCTTGACGTTTACTCATCTGCTGCAAGCGTTGTTTATGTGTCTTGCTGCTTCCAGTCTGAATATTCTCTAATTCCGTCAAGCGATCTTGGTCAGCTTCAATCTTATCTTGCAATTCATCCAGTCTTACTTTTGACCAGGTTTCACATCTTTTCCTGATAAGTTCTTCATTTTTCTCGATCTGAGACCTGATGTATTCCATTTTTCGTTAATTTTACTGCGCACAATATCTTCACCAACAACTTTTGAATTTCTTACAGCATCCAAAACCATCGGAACATGAGTTTTCAATTTCTGTGTGGATTCCCTTCGAACACCTAAAGACTCCATAGCACTCCCTGTTCTAGTTCGGCTGAGTATGTATTTTATCATATTTCTGTCCCATTCTGTTGACATACTTTCTTGTATCAAGTCAACCTCCGCTTTTTGAAAATTCTTCTTTGCTGCTAGTTGTCATGTTTAGAGCAAGGAAGTCAAAGAATCTTGAAAAATCAAGACTTTTGTCTGAGCGTAAAACGATTACTTTTTTTCCAGAGCTGGGAAATTTCACAATGTTTGCGCATAAACCTGTCTTAGGGTGAAGAACCGCGCACTGAAAATCGTAGCGTGCTTGTTCTGATAAATTTTGAACTGACTGAAATCCCATGTACATTTCAAAACCCTCATCAAATGGGATGAAGCCAACTATTCGCGGATTTGGTCCATCAAAGGGTTCTTCTATGAGCATCTCTTGCAAAACAGCTTGAAGTCCACGAATTATTTCTTTTCTCCTTGGATTATTTAACAAAATCATTTTTTCCTGTAAGACTTGGAGGTTGTCTTGCCAATGGCAAGTTTGCAGTGACTCGAGGACATTTTCAGACGTAGATTTCTTGGAAAACTTTATAATCTTATTTCTTACTGCATGTGCTTGGTTCCTTCTCCCTTTAGTTGTATCACTATCAGTATTCTCGTCATCATCAGATTCTTCAATGCAACATGTTACTTTATTATTAATAGACATCCAAATAAAACCAAGACTGGCAATAGCTGCACAAAATATCTTGGTCAGTGTCGAATGAGGTTTCAATCTTTCTATACATCCTTTTTCAAAAAATTAAAAACAGATTAATATTAAAGGATCAGCAAAGAAAAAATAGGGTAGGGCTATTTTACATCTGTACAAAAATTTTTTTAGTCCTAATTAAATCATTACATATGTACCTTCCCGACCTCCTCTATTAAGACTATGGCCGATCACAGCTGTCGATCTTTTGTCTTTTATATTATAAAATGAAACACATTCTTTTTCGTTCATGTCACGGCTGACGGGAGATAAGCATCCGTTTATAAACCAACTGAGCCATGAACTATGACACTGATTATATTTGCCATTACCAATGTGTGGCACCGGCCCAAACCCTCGTGGTTTCCTGATTAAATTTCTTAACATGTTTTATTCATTAAAAAAATTGAGTGAAACACATAATGAAAGACAGAATCTTGTGCCAGCAAGCCATTGCACAGCAGTCTGTCCTCGCTGCGCGGTTCGCATGCGCGTGTTACTGTTACCAGGCCTCCACGGTTCGCTAGTTTCCAAAATGGCGGATTCAGAAGCAATGGAGGTAAAATTGTTGGAATGGATTAAATCCCTTGAAATTCAAAACGAACACGATGTGCTTGAAATACCTACAAACTTAAACATTTAAAAGACTTTCGTGGCGAGGAAGACTTGCATAATCTACCCTTAAAAAAGGCAGAGGCACGAAGGTTTCTTTGTGGCTTGGTGAAATGCGATGGTTTCTACAAACTTAAACATTTAAAAGACTTTCGTGGCGAGGAAGACTTGCATAATCTACCCTTAAAAAAGGCAGAGGCACGAAGGTTTCTTTGTGGCTTGGAAGAACTAGAGAAAAATTGCTGGCAGTTTTGTCCTGTGAGCGATTCAAAGGAGGATGACGAACGGTCTGTCCATATAACCGTCCCGCCTACAAAGATAACCCTTGGAGGTGTGAAGATGACTGAAAAACTACGGAAACAGTTTGAGAAGGAGAACGTTATTATCACAAATCCACTAAATGATAAACACAGATTCTTCAATGACGTTTTTGCTACGTTATTCAACACTTCTTATGCAAGACTACAAAGCAGATTTGTACATTATTTTAAGGCAGAAAGGAAACAAAGATGGGAATTCAAATGTAACATTTCAAAAGTTGAGGCAAAGTATGACATATTAGTACACAAGCCAGTGGGGCAAGGTGGCGGATATGGTCTAGGTAATTACTTAGTTTTACCATCAAAGTTTGACAAAAATAATATTAGTGTGGTAAGGGGTGGTATTGATGAACTTCAAATTTTGAATACAAATGTCCAAGACCTGAATGACAAGTTGGTTAAGGACAGAAAAGAACGGTTGATGGATGAAAATAACATCATTAAAAAGTGGGCATCAACAGAGCAAGAGCCATATAATCTTGACGCTTTGAATACATGTGAACTGCTAAAAGGTGAGTAAAATATTGGAGGTTTTGTGTGTGTGTGTGTTGTGTGTGTGTGTGTGTGTGTGTGTGGGGGGGGGTTATATAACATTAACAATATATTAACAATTCAATACCTGTTTTGTGTTTCTGCTTAAAACAGCGTTTTTCCTACCAACATTGTGAATTAATTGTAATATTTAATTTGTATTTATCACAGGAAAAATTGATACTACGATTGAAAAATTGAGAAATACATTGAAATCCATGATGTGCTTGCCCAGTGAGCAAGTGTACAAAGACAAATCAGCACAAAAAGCATCCAGACGTATAAAAGAAAACCAGCATCATGGCAAGAAAAGGAAGGTATTAAAATCTCATTTATAAATATATTTATAATACTTAATAGGTGCTTTGTTGTTAAAATTTTGAAATATTATCTAGACTTGAACTATTTCACTCTTTCAGAGAGAGAGGCTGCAGAGGTTCACTTTGGAAGTTGCCAAACGTCTGGGGGCAACAATTTGTGGAGATTTATACAGTCCACTAGAAACTGGTGATGCACAACTGAGTGCAGATGATGTCAAGGAGACGGTTGAGCTCCTGTCTGTTTACTCCAAAAATGAAAGATTGCTTGAAGCTCTGAATCAGCTGCGAGATGACCTGCTTGATAGTACTGCATGGGAAGTTGTGATGCAGTGGTTTAATGATGAGGATTAATTTTTATAGTTTGCATCCTAATTCATTGATTAAATTAAACAGATTTGTACCCTGTGGTCCTTGCTTGTAGTCTTTGACTTATATTTAAATAGGATGAACAGTAATTTAATATATTGCTGAAAATATAGTTTAATCCTGGCATATCTTCAATCAAACCTTTGATTTGCCAAGGCTGTATATTAAACTGAAGCTGATTATTTAATATGAGATATGACATATTATGTTGATATGAATGATGAAAGTTCATTGCAGGAATATCAATTGACCATTATTAATAATGGTCAAGTCTATTTCATTTATAATGCAGTAATGCATGTCAAAATTTAATCTATATACAGATTTAGAAACGAATTCTAGTATGTATTAATTAAAGGCCAGTATAAAGTATTAGGGATGGGGGGGTCATACAAATTCACCTATCTTTGTTCACAAACATATAAGGGGGGGCCATAAGAAAGTTATCAACAAAATTGGGGGGGGGCATTAAAAAATGTATAGCTAAAAATTGAAAATCACCATAGCCCCCCCTCTAGGTAAATTATGAACCCTCCCTAATTCGATAAAAAAATTGTTGTTTTTGCTTGCATGAAACTTGAGAACTAGATGGGCTGGCACATTTCTCATATGCCTTATGTACAAAAATTATGCCAATTTCACTCAGGCAGGTTTCCCTAGTGAGTTGAGCCCAACACCCTGTCTGGACTCATATGAACAAACCTTTAAGCCAGTTACAGACAAGCAAGTTTTCCATGACACATTTTTATAATGTGGCAAGTTTGCCCGTCTGTATATACGCAGCCCAAAAATGTGTGTTGAACATTTTTACCCTCGCGCGTGGCGTTGTCACAGTAAAAATTGTCAAAGACAAAGTACACATTTTGTTGGTTTGTATGGGTCAACAAACAAAACTTGTCAATGTAATTTGAGCATTTGGCAATCAGAAGCCAAAAACTTGTCATAGAAAATGTGTTGCACATACACACATGCACTTGATAAATAAAACTTGCCACATTATAAAAACTTGCCATAGAAAACTTGCTCATCTGTAAACCGGCTTAAAGTTTGTTCATATGAGTCCAGACAGGGTGTAGTGGCTCAACTCACTAGGGAAACTTGCCTGAGTGAAATCTGCATAATTTTTGTACATATGGCATATGTACAAAATATATATGTACATATACCAAATAGACAAAGCTTTCAAGCCTTTGCCCACCACTCAACTCACAGCGCCCTTTAAGCTTCGACCTTCCATTCTTTTCATACTCGCTTCGCTCATCAATTAATAGCCGGAGCCTCAGTAGAGCAAAACAGTAATGCCTATTGGTCATACCCAAAACATTATTAGCCAGGACTTCAAATGGATACCTGAAGGGCTGTCTTATGAGTTCATTGCCGGCTATTACTTTTGTACCTACTGTACATATACCCTGTACTCCTTTTCCTCAGCTAGCCACATGTCGATTTGGGAAATGTCAAAATCTAAACAACATATATTATAATATAGCATTTGTAAATTCCGAACGCTGATTGGCGAAGAGCCGTGTTGATATAACTCGATGTCAACATGGAAAATTTCTTTCTTTATGTTTCTTTGAGCTATATTATAAAAAAATATAAAACATTTTTCTGTATTGATATACAGTTATATCAACACTCGTGGAAATTGGGAAAACTCAAAATTGTGTGAAAACACTCCGCCCTTCGGGTGTTGTGTTTCCACACAATTTCTCGTTTTCCCAATTCCCACTTGTGTTGATATAACTGTATATCAACACGGAAAATGTTTTATATTTGTTAAATGTAAAATAAGTTTAAAACGGAAACATTTCCAACTATACTATGCTATATATGTGAAAATTTCTGCATTTTATTAATGAAAGTTTGAAAGTTCTGCATTTTTGACAAAGTGAACAATTTGCTAAATAAATCTTATTAATTCTTCACTCTTGACTAAATATATAAAACATTACCCGGAATAGTATCTGCCAGTTCGTTAAACGTCTCTATTGCCGTTTTTTGTAATTCCATTGCTTGCACCATTCGTCTCCTTAACCTCTCTCCAAGTTTGGACTTACTTTAATAATAATAATGATCTTTATTTTAACAGGTTGACCCTATCAGCTGAGACAGCTGTTATAAATAGGGGACCTGCACACTACATTAAAAATTTACAATAAAATATATTTTATACAAAGTTAAGTTCATAATAAGGTAGAAACTTTAAAAACTTTAAAATGAATAGCTCGGTTCAGTTTCATTCTAGTTTATATAGAGTTATTTCACTAAGAATAGAACAATTTAAGTTTAGATTTAAAACGGAGCAATGATCGTTCTTCTTTAAGTTCCCTTGTTAACTTATTGTACAACTTAGTTCCTTGAAATGCAAATGTTTTTTCCCAGATTCTGTTTTGACCTTTGGTAGGACAAGATTCAATCCATTTCCTCGAGTATTCTTCCCATGATTCAGCTTAGAAAAGTTGAAAATTGTGATAGCTACATCCATTTCTCTTCGATTTTTAAGAGGGATCCACATATTTCGGGCGTTTTTTCCAAAAATGATCTTGTTCGCACGCTCGTGAAGATTCTGCAGTTTATGACAACTTTGCCGCTCATCACCTAAAAATACTTCACTGCAGTATGTAACAACCAATCATAAACCTTACCGGAACTAATGTACAATTAATTATGCATGATATTAGCATGAGCATGTTATTGTGTAACCTGAGAATATTCGTAGTATAGAATAAAACGTTAAGCAAAGAACTGCCTTCCTGGAAGACCTATTATACTAGTATTTAAGTTACTACATTGGTGACAAGAATGTACTAAAGACTGATCTAAAGCAAGAAATTATGAGCCACGACAAGGAGAAAAAAGGTTCTGGCTCTGAGACGAGCGTGACCAACCGCCAACTCAACGTGAGACCATTTCAGATCAACGATAATCGCACTGAAACTGCTTCAGGATGGGAGAAATGGCTACGGAATATTGAAAGACAGTTTCGCTACTTTGGGATCACAGACCCAGAGATGAAGAAAGACGGTTTAATCATTTACAGCAGTCAAATAATCGCAGATTTAGAAGACACACTTCTCAACGCTACAGACGACGAAGCCAGTGAAGATGCCTATGCACAACTCATAATGAAGCTCAACAAACATTTTCTACCAAAGAAGAACAAAGATTTTGCTAGATTTCAGTTTGGAAATCTGAGGCAAAACCACGATGAATCGCTTGTTCGATACTATACACGCATCAGGGAAATAGCAAAGAAATGCAGTTTCTCAAACAAGAGCGAAGCTATTCGAGACCACTTAATATGCAAGAATTGGATGCTCAACCAAATTCTAGAAGAAGCTGAGTTGGACGAAGAAACCTAACACAAGCTAAAGAGATGGAGAAGAAAGTAAATTCAGATGAAACAATCAAACGAGTCCAAAATTATCGACAACAACGACAACGACCTTCGTCCCAGATTTTCCGTGAACAAAGCACATCATCGACCCGTGAAAAAACAACAAATCCTTGCAACCGTTGTGGATATGACCGAGCTCACAAACAATGTCCAGCAATGGGATCTCTTTGCAATGCATGTGGCAAACGTAACCACTACGCCAAAGTATCTCGATCGAAGCCCGCAGAAAGATTTTCAAATGGCAGACGACAACGACAATTCGAAGGCAAAGACACAAGAGACACACAACAATCAACATCGGGAGAAAGAAATCGGAGAGACAGGAAAATGCCAGAAACTAAAAATGTCAAGCATGTTACCTACAATAGAGATCGAAGCCCGAGTACCGAAAGCAGCACATCAAGTGATAGCAACTTGGTAAACCACTTAAAGATACACAGGACGACAGGGGATGAAACGACTTTATCCTATGTTGTTTACATAAATGGTCATAAAACACTCGTTGAACCAGACACAGGTGCAGACTCTAACATTATGGATGAAATACAACTTCAAGAGATGAAAACCAAGTCACCAGAGATACAACTATACGAGTCGAAAGTAAAGCTAAATACGCTGAAAGAGAAGCTACCGGTTAAAGGCGAATGCATTGCGACCATTGAAAACGAGACATGCATAACACAAGCACCTAGAAGAATTGGGCATGGTGAAGATTGATGAAACAGGACGACTTAAAGAACCGAACAAACCCTGCAGTACTCGCAATATTCGGAAACTACAAGAAACACAGTCCAGTATTGATGAGCTACTCAAACCATATCAAGATCTATTTCATGGAATTGGCAGAGCGACCCGCAATGGAGAGGAGATTCAGCTACATTTACCAATGGATGAAGAGGCTGAACCAGTTGCACAAAAACCAAGACGAGTTGCATACCACCTAATGGAACCTCTCCAGAAACGACTCCAAGAATTTGTGGAACAAGACATCATGGAAAAAGATCCTGATCAAGAACCTATAACATGGTGTTCTCCTATGGTTGTACAACCTAAACCAAAGAATCCCAATGATATACGCCTCAGCTTGGATTTACGAACACTGAATAAATCCATTTTACGAACTCGCCAAGTCCAAGCACCCATTACAGAATATTTTATTACAGCGTTTAAGGATTGCTGCATATTCAGCAAGTTGGACCTCAACCATGGATACCACCAGTTTGTCATTGATCCCCAGTCCAGACAAGCCATGACATTCTCAATGCCATGGGGAAATTACGATACAAACGTCTTGCGTTCGGGATAGTCAACACCTATTCGATAGCGAGATGGCAAAGATCCTATCGGGTATTCCCAGAACACTGAACAATCGTGATGTTATTATGATTGGAGGTGTAGATCTTGCTGATGACGACAAGAACCTGAAGATAGTGTTGGGACGACTAAAGGACTACAACCTTACGTTAAGACAAGAGAAATGTGAATTCCGAAAGTCAACACTTGAATTCCATGGCCACTTATTCACTGCAGAAGGATTGAAGCTGAGTGCCAGCAAGGTCCATGCTGTCAACGCCTTCTAGAAACCCAACACCAAAGAAGAATTGGTATCATTTTTACAGATGGTTGCATACCTTTCTCGGTACATCGATCGATTCTCAGGTAGATGCGACAGCGACAGCGCTAACAACAGCACCAGTTCTCATTCCATATCAACTAGGAAGAGAAACCTTAGTCATTGTCGATGGTAGTCCAGAGGGCTTCGGTGGAGCCTTACTCCAAAAGACAGCAGATAGATTTCAACCTGTCCATTACGTCAGCCGAACACTGACTGATACAGAGAAACGCTATTCTCAAATCGAAACGGAGGGAATAGCAGCTGAATTTTCCACAAATCGACTGCAGATGTACTTACTTGGAGCACCAAAATTTAAGCTAGCGACTGACCACAAACCATTACTTCCTCTTCTCAACAACCCCAAAGCGAAAATTCCACCACGAATTGAAAGAATTATAATCAAGATGCAGAACCTGGATTTCGAAGCTATCCACATACCAGGAAAGAGCAACATTACTGACTATTTATCACGACACCCTCTTCCAGAAACTAGCAAAGACCATATTGAGAAACATGTCAACGCAGTGATTCAAGCAGATCACGCCACATCCTCGTACCCAGGATCTTTTTGGGAAAGACCCTGGTATCGGCTGGTCACGTGACTCTACAAAAATTGATTGCCCAAGGGGGAGTGGCAAAGTACCAAATCATGCTTCCACAGAAACGTTAAATTTCAAATACCAGGAGTGGGATTTTACGATATATAGTTTGAAGCGCCCGCTAACTTATATTTTATACCTCCGTTTGCTTTTAAATTACAAAAACACTGTAGCATTTTATCAACAGTCAAGTCAAGAAACAAATAAAATGTTTACTTTAAACTTTGAAGTTGGGTATTCTCTTGAAACATATTTTCATATCAAACTGGTCAGTCGTCAACGTTTGTACATTTTCACTTTTATCTGTTCCTAAAATATGCAATTAGATTTGTTGTTTGAAAACGTTGATGAACTTTGTGCAGATTTACTAATAGCATGCGTCTCATTTTATAGTGAAGGTTGATAAAATTTTGAAATGTAATTAACTTTTTGTCACAAATCACAATGTAAACATGTGGACACTGCCGAACAGAGACTGAATGCTCACTTTAAAACTGTCAATGATTTATCTTTGAAAATACTTTTAATTACATAGTTCGTCATATTTATTAAAAAAACCCTGTAGATCGGTAGGGTAGGAGGTTGGCAAGGTAGTAAAGTCAACAATTTTCAGCCTCAGGGCGTGTATCATCAGGTGGTATATACAATCACGGCTTTAGCCTGATAATTTTTTGGCCTCCATGCACTAAGTAATGGGGTAACAGCAATATTTATAACAGTATTTTTCTGATATACAGTACACACTTTATAATATGAACATAGTAGATAATTCCATAAACCACGGAATAAACAACGGCATAAACCATGGCATAAACACTGATATCACATTCACACTCGGTCATCAAACACGCACAAACGAGTCTTTCACTTATCTTTGAGTAGGCTATTGTCTGATTATTTTACCGTAGGTTTGATAACAGGGAGGTATACTTCGACATATTTCTTGAGCATCAAGTTTCAACAGATTCTGGTTTTTCGTATCTCTGAGGATGGTTCTGAAGTTTCAGCAGTCCGAGTAGCATTGTTTACAAGCAACATTGTTTGCGATATTTCAGAAATTAAAAAATCTCTATATTTCGTTACACATCTCAGTATTAAATAAATCCTTTAGGATAGACATCAACAGCTAAATAACAGCCTCATTGCTCGGTACCGGTGTAGAAATATATTTTCTTGTAACGTTTGCGACGTGTTGATCTCTTCGAGTTCGACGAGCCGTATCGGCAAATTTGTCTATTGAAATCTGATCTATCTTTGCTCACCGACATTGAAATTTGATATTTTGCTCACCGGCACAATGAAATTTGATATTCATTATTATGTAACATTGATAGTATTCATGACAAAATAAAATATACAATTTAGTAAATATTTCCTGTATGATTTCTGGGTTATTTCTTCGCTCACTCCTTGCTCAATGACAAAACTTACTTAGCTACCCACCCTAATTGAAATTGTTTGTTATCTCCCAGATTCTGGGAGACACGTGACCAGCCGATAGCAGGGTCTTTCCCAGCCGGTGGAAAGTCCCTGCGACGGAGGTTGATCACGCCATAGTCTGGTCGAAAATCAAGAAAGCCACGGCAGAAGACAAAGAATTGTGCGAACTGACCGAAACGATTGAAACCGGAAATTGGAGTGAAGCAAAGCAGTTCTTGAAACCCTACTATGAAGTCAGAGATGAACTCTTTGTCGCGGATGGAGTGATCATGCGAATGGACCGTATTGTACCACCCCAGTCCCTGAGACAGAGAATCATCCAGTCAGCCCACAAGCAAGGACATCTCGGAGTGAATAAGACGAAAGAAATGATCCGAAGAAAGTACTGGTTTCCTGAAATGAATACCAGAATAACAGATACAGTACAAACATGTTTCAACTGCCAGATTGCTACAGATCACCACCATATCGAGCCAGCAAAGATGACAGAGTTACCAGACCGACCATGGGATGTGGTAGAAGCTGATTTTTGTGCACCACTGCCCAACCACAAATATGCACTGGTACTTACCGACCAATATTCACAATATCCAGAAGTGGAGATGGTAACATCTACATCCACAATACCAGTGACAAAGAAATTGAAGAAGATTTTTTCTACCCATGGAATACCCCGAATACTACAAACTGATAATGGCCCACCATTCAATGGTGAACAATTCCAAACCTTTGCTGAAGACATGGGATTTCACCACAAGCGAGTAACACCAATACATCCGAAAGCGCAGGGCCAAGTGGAAAATTTCAATAAGCTGATCAACAAAACAACAAAGATTGCCTGTGAAGAAGGAATCGAAATCGAGAGTGCAATATATGATATGTTACAAGCATATAGACAGACACCCCATCCGGCAACAAAGTCAACGCCGTACGAGGTTTTGATGCACCGTCAAGTTCGAACATGATTGGAACATTTTCCCACCGAAGTTCACATCACCCAAGATGAGGTCAAGAAGAATGACAAAACCTACAAGCAGAAACATAAGCAGTACCACAATAAACGTCACAGAGTGAAAACACATACAATCAAGTGCGGTGATGCCGTTTTGATAAAGAGAGAGAGAAGAAAAGAAAGAAGCATACACTGTACAAGCCGTACATATACGTTGTGACAAGCATAAAACGATCAACCATCCGTGCAAGACATGTAAAGGATGGAAAAGTTAATTGCAGAGATGCATCGAAGGTTAAACCACTTAGAACAGCTCAATTGTCAAAAGCCAACGATGAAACGGCGAGTGTAAAAGTACCAAGCAGTTACGAAGCCACAACATCCAGGATGACATTTCAGGACACAGACAGCAGCAATATCCGGGACATGACAATGGACAATATAGATACAACAAGTGAGACAACAACCACAACAAGTGAGAACAATTTGCGAAGATCAGAAAGACTAAAGAAGAGCACGTATCAAGGGAAGTATAAAGACTATATAAAGTAGAACATTAACTAATTAAAAAAACAGTTAGTACATTGACTGAAAAAAAATTATAATTATTTCTAGATGATTAATGTTAGGATTCTAAAAAAGACTATAGATTATAAATTACAGAGACTATCAGAAGGAACCAATCATAAACCTTACCGGAACTAATATACAATTAATTATGCATGATATTAGCATGAGCACCTGAGAATATTCGTAGTATAGAATAAAATGTTAAGCGAAGAGCTGTCTTCCTGGAAGACCTATTATACTAGTATTTAAGTTACTACACAGTGCATCAATACCGGCTCAATCATAGCGTGATAAATTGTTTCAGCAACATATGGCGAGATACTCTCACATACAGTGGATAGCAGTTTTAGTCTCATAGAGCCCTTCTTATAAAGTTTCTGCAAGTATTCAGTAAAAGTTAATTTACTGTCCAAAGTCACACCCAGATAATCATATGATGCAGATTGATTAACGTTTTCACCGCAAATAGTCACATTGATTTGCTCACCGCTTGATTGTTGTATCACAATACGTTTTGCAGTTCCATAGAGAACGAATTCTGTTTTTCCCTTCTTCATATTAATAACCAGATTATTTTTCTTGAACCATTTATCCAGCTCCTGTAAATCATCATTCAGAATTTTGATAATTTCTTCCGACATTTTTCCAGAGTAATATACAACAGTGTCATCAGCATAGAGAATTAGCTTGGTGTTTTTGAGCGCAATGTCTAAATCGTTTATGGAAACCACAAACATCAGAGGCCCTAGGATCAATCCTTGTAGCACGCCACAAGTCACTGCTTCAACCTGCGAGTTGACCAAGTTATACTGGACAAATTGTGATCATCCAAACAAATAATCCTCAAACCATTTCAGTTCATTGTTCACAATACCATAATATGATAGCTTTGTAAGTAAACAGCCGTGATTCACCGTATCAAACGCCTTTCTAAGATCAACGTATACTGCTCCTGTTAAATTACCTATATCCATGTTTTTTCGTATATGTTCAGTGAGACGCAAGACAGCCTGTGATGTACATCGACCACTGCGAAAGCCAAATTGTGCTGGTGACAGGAACTTATTATCCTCTAAATATTTGTGCAACTGTCTATAGATCAGTCTTTCAATTACCTTTGAAAATGCAGGTAAAATCGATATCGGCCTATAGTTAAGTTGTGATTTTTCTCCAGATTTGTATAGAGGTACACAATCTTTGCACATTTTTCTGAGTTTTTCTGGAAAAACTGCTTCCGATATAGATCTATTGGCCAACAAGCTGAATGGAATAAGCAATCTCGGATGCAAGTTTAATCAGTACTGCTGGGAGGTTATCAAAACCTGTTCCTTTTGATGTTTTGATATTCTTGAGTTCATACAAAGCTTCTTGGTAATGTATTTCATGAAATGTAAATACTTTATTGTCAGGATTAATAGATCTCCTTAAATCTAAGTCGAAGCAGTTTTCCCATATTGGGTCATGTAAGATTGCTAAAGTTTGTTGTAAGCAAGAGGCAATCTTACTAAAGTATGAACAAAATCCATTTGCTATACTTTTAACATCAGAAACCTTTCCCCCGTCAATGTTAAATAATTTAGTCAGATTTGGTCATTTGGATGGGTAGCATCTTTTAATTGTTTTCCAAAAGTTTTTTTGAATATTCATGTTTTCACGGAGAATAGTTATATTATAATTGGCTTTACTATTTCTTATTGCGTCACTGAGTTACGTAACCATCGATAAGTTGACAAAGCGTTCTCAGTGTTTGATTTTCTGGCTTTCCTTAAATAATAATCTCTTTCTCTAATCTTCTGCTTTATTTCCGAAGTTAACCACGGACAATCTCTACCACGAACAGATCGTTCCATCAAAGGGGCATGTTTATCAATCACAGCGATAATTAGGGACTTAAATTTATCCCACACTGTATTCAGATTGATTGACTACCAAGAGTGTCACAAATATCATTTCGAAAGTTGAACTTATTAATGTTTTTAAAACTACGGCATTGAATTCTTCTAGGAGCAAACTTTCTACAGTTAATCTTTCTTTTGTTGCCAATCAACTCATGATCGAGTACTCAGAGAGGAAGCAAATGTAGTATTCTTTGTGAGATTTAATTAATGAATGGTAGCAAAAATATCAATTAAGGTTTCAGATGATTGCGTGAACATGTAGGCTGGTCAATTATCTGTTTAAAACCATTCAGTGAGATAATGTCCTTAATTGGTTTATGGTCACTCGGAACAAGGTCACAGTTCAAGTCCCCCACACAAGATTACGTCTTTGTTCTCGCAGAGAGTAGACTCTATTATGTCTGAAAACTTTACGGCAAAGTCTTTGACAATGTGCAGAGAGCTGTCAGGGGGTGGTAAATAATGCCAAAGAAGAACGATTTCGCGTTTTGAATAAGAATTTCTATCCATAAACACTCGATTCCGTCAATTTCCAAATCAGTTCTCTGTTGCCAATTAATATCATTTCTTATATAACAGCAAACACCACCTCCCTGCCCAGATTCTCTGTCCTTTCTAACCAATGAATAATCAGTTACACTCAGTTCATCATCCAACAAATGTTTATTTGCATGAGACTCTGTAATACTGAGAATATGGATATTCTTCTTCGTGCCTTCAAACATAGCATGCAATTGATCAATTTTTGAATATAATCCATTTACATTCTGATGCAGCAACTTCATACCTCCACAACGAAGAAAATCGTTCAAGTGACCATAATTCACGGCAGATAAGTCATCAGCAGGGTTCTCCATAGGCATATCTGCACAACCACGGCAAATCAAATTCTCAGCGTGATTCTCGGTGCTATCAATTAAGCATTTAAGTTGTAAAGCGCTATTACACCGTTCACATTCTCCTTGACGTTGATTTCTTCGTATAGTTTTCAAACAATCTTTACATGTTGCCTTATTAGGACCTGGGCACAACTCTATATCTCCAGCAAGAATCAATAACATCTTCAAAGCAACACTTTGCGATACAAAGAGGCCTCTTTCTTGTTTATATTGCCATATTGAAGAATATAAACGATTCTGCTCAAATAATATAGGACTGCTGTCATATGAATGATAGCAAACAGAATCACCGTTTAAGAAACCCAGCTTCTTCACAGACATTGCAATGAAAACAAATAAAACGGTCCGAGCACACCGTGATTAATGCATCAACTTGCCTAGAGGGATACATTTCCTTGGTAATTGATGCAAAACCCCTCAAATACGACCACAAACGCTCCACTAATTCACCATCAGTGAGTCAAAATCCTGCTACCCATCTAGAGCTATACGTAATCTAGATAAATTAAGAACAATCAGTTGATTTCTTTTGGTAGGTTTTTTAAACAGTTTGCTTGGTCCGAAACAAGCGCAAATGTTTACCTGACATTGAACTTTATCGCCCGTATTCTAAAAGCTCACTCACACTCAATGAGTGGAAGTTCAATCTGAGCTTCTCTTGAGTGTCATTGCTGTTTTTGAATAGCTGGAGGGCTAACGTCATACCTCACTATGTGAGTACTAACCCTCCAGCTATTCAAAAACAGCATTGACATGCAAGAGAAGCTCAGATTGAACCTCCATTCATTGAGTGTGAGTGAGAAGAATACGGGGCCGTATGACCATAAACATGAAATATTACGATAGTTAATTTGATGTGGTTGATTTAAAATGTCTGCGAATTCTGCTGAATTCTAAACGAAATGAAAGTAATATTTTAATAACAGTCTGAGACAGTACAGATAAATTTTAGAGATATGTGTTATTACTTGACATGTTTGATCTTGGGAAAAATAATGAAAATGTTGTCAAAATCGCCATTGCAATTTGCAATGATTGACACATTTACATGTAACGCCTAAAAATACAATGAAAGTTGTCAATTCACTTTATTGAAAGTTTGTAAACAAAGTAAGAGTCGATAAGTATAGATGGTTGTTCTGATGACTGTGTTGGCACCAGTCAAAGTCCCTTTTCTCTAAAATATAAGCAAAACAATGTCCTGCCTTTAATCTTTAATGCTATTAAACATTGTGTTGTAAACACCTTATTAGATTTTAAACATTTTGCAGTGGATTGCATTTCCTAGACCCTATAGATTTGAGTTGTTGGAAGGATCAGCTAAACAAGTTAGTGACCGCAGAGGCAACAAGCCCCCAACCCAGTGTTTTATAAGGGGGGGGGGGATAATTTTGGCCCCCCACCAAAAAAAACCAATTGATTTCGAAACTAGAAGTATTTGAAATTGTATATATATATATATATATATATATAAAATCAAATATCTGTAATCAATATTTTGATAACAAATCTTGTAATAATCCATCCTGACTCATGGATAACATGGACTGACAAATCATAATGAACAAATTAATGAAAGGCCTAACAAAAGAGGTAGAGAAGATTTTGAAAATGTCATTTCCGACAATTTAGAGACACAAAATGTTCTCGCTCTCTCGTATGGTCCCTTTTTGTAGATGCCCCGCCCCCCGCTGACAAATTCTTAAAAAATGCCCTGTATAATACCCTTACTTTAAAAGTGCAGTGATGGCAACAGTAGTAACATAGTGACACAAATTGACAATGAACTTCCCTTGAACTTCCTTGGCACTATATACAAAGTATTTGTAGATACAATTATAACTACATGTATTTAATAGTGTTTAGTTTAATGAAAATGGTGGAAATACTGCTATGGATATGTATCAATCATTCATGGAAAGTAATGCAATGATTTAATGTATGGCTGCCCATGCAATGTGAGTGTAAAACCTTTTTAGAGATGCAGTGTACATATAAAAAAGTTGTTTAACAGGTTTTCATAGAGCCTAGTTGAGAAGGTCCCTACACAGACTATGCTGTGATGTTTGAAAATCATAATACAATAATATAAAAAATAGTCACTGACAGTGAACATTTGTGCGACTAAATCACCTCAAATAATGTATTAACATGATGATCATAACATGTTTGATTGTTGTTACAACATGTCTACCACAGAGTGTACTGTACATACACTAAATGATCGCAATTTTTAAGGTCTGGTGAAACAAAACACTGGTAGAATTAACCATGCAATGGAGGTAGTGGATAACCAAGTGTCAACCATACAGATATTATAAGACGTGTATTAAATGGTTTCTTTGTAAAGTATAACACGTTGTGGTGTGACTGTATTTTGAAGTCGGTTTCAATTCCATTCCATTAGTTACATATTACTCAAACCATCCAGACTACAGTTGTCTATAGAATATAAGTCAAACTGGGGTTTTGTTTCACTATATAGCCGATCCTGACGGGTCGGAAGATACATGTTTATTATTTACAATATAAACCTCCCTGGCTTTCTTTAGCTTATAAATCTTAACAGTTTGACTTGTTTTAAAGTACAGCAGTATATGTTGTCAAAGTTGTTTTAATGTTATTTGAGGGTTTTACCTATGGGTTTCCTCTTCACTTTGAGCGTGGTCACACCTGCTGGCAGTGGTTTCGGAGGTAGTATATTTATAGCATGTTACAATATTTAGAGTGTGATTGTGTTGTTTTTGTACAACTGGCTCGCATTTTACCAGCAGTGCCAAGCAGTTACCCATGTGCACAACAACAAAAACTTGTCAAACTTGATTTACCGGTTTTTCATTTAATGTATTCATCTGTGAATCTGGATGGCAGCTACATGAAGCGATCGTTTGTTTGCTCGCAGTGGTTTCTCCTCAGCTCAGCTAGAAACCACTGCTACCAGGGTAAAATATGTCTATTTTGGTTCACATCTAATGAAATGGTGTGTATAATACACTGAATTTTGTTTAGTGAATTAATTTAAACATAAGATTCCCAGTGTTTGCATGCAGAAAACGTCCCAGAAAATAAAATATTTTATGCAGCCCTGATCTTAAGAGATGGGAAACAGATGCTGCCGTACACGTGGAACTTAACAAATGCGAGCAAGGGAAACAACTTCTGTCTCATAAACTTTGATTTGATCTAGCATCTATGATTATTGGTTTCTATGAAATATGCAAAATTGCATTCATACGATTTCCTGGTTCTACCATCTAACCATTTTGTACAAACAGGGACTTGGTTGAAAACTTTTTTGTCAAGAAAGAGGCCATAATGGACAAAATTCGAATCCGGCATATTGACAATACGGCCCCACTATGAACAGCATCATCCTTGGACAGACAACAACTACGAATCGCAGCAATACCGGATCAGTTGAGAACTTGTCGTTTTTCAAAAGAGATGTTCCGTTAAAACATAAAAATACTAAGTAACTTACATTATGTTAGTAGGGTAGACAAGACTTCTCTATCCGGATGCAACCCCTACAGTATCCCATGCACATTTATATTGTTTTGAACAGGGATTCAAAACACAGAACTATACCCTGTCATCAACTCAGCTAGAAACCACTGCTAGCAGGGTAAAATATGTCTATTTTGGTTTCACATCTAATGAAATGATGTGTATAATACACTGAATTTTGTTTAGTGATTTAATTTAAACATAAGATTCCCAGTGTTTGCATGCAGAAAACGTCCCAGAAAATAAAATATTTTATGCAGCCCTGATCGTAAGAGATGGGAAACGGATTCTGCCGAACACGCAGAACTTTAAAAATGTGAGCAAGGGAAACAACTTCTGTCTCATAAACTTCGATTTGATCTAGCATCTATGATTATTGGTTTCTACGAAATATGCAAAATTGCATTCATATGATTTCCTGGTTCTACCATCTAACCATTTTGTACAAACAGGGACTTGGTTGAAAACTTTTTTGTCAACAAAGAGGCCATAATGGACAAAATTCGAATCCAGCATATTCACAATACGGCCCCACTATGAATAGCATAATCCTTGGACAGACAACAACTACAAATCGCAGCAATACCGGATCAGTTGAGAACTTGTCGTTTTTCAAAAGAGATGTTCCATTAACTCAATTCGATCCGCCAATATTAATTTCCGACGTATATGACGGGAAGATTAAATATTAAAGAACTTCGCGAGTATTTGCAGTAGACATACGAAAATACCACCAAAAAATTCCGCTTGATCGATACTATATATTCAGAAATATTCATATAATTTTATTGTTTCTCGCTCAATTTCAAGCGAATTTCTTACCTTGAAATGATCAATGCGGTGAAATTTATGCAAATGACACATCAATTTTGCTGTTGCATTTTGAATGTTCCACCTGATTCAAATGCTCGTCTTTTTGCTTCTTTTCAACGTATAAAAATAACAAATATACCAAAAGAATCACCATCTTCCATTCTATAGCTCGGAGCAGTCTCGGGAAATTGCAAAATAATCTAAGCCTATTATGGCAATTCTCGTGATCGGAAAGTGTTCGGCCAACTTCAGACGCCAAATTCTTGGTAAAGCATTACAGTTTCCTGGTAAAAGACTGCAGGAATCACTTCCGGAATGTTTGTTTACCCTAGATACGGATTTTGATTGGCTTAGGCAGAAAAACAAATCTTTTAGAGCAATTTTCCTGATTATCGCGCACGGGAACGCACGAGCGTTGAAATGTATTGTGTTGTAGTTTTGTTTGAATCGCATTCTGAAGACGTTTGTTTTTGGCTTTAGTTTGCAAACTGATAGTGCTAGTAATGATGGAATGTCTTCGTATGAAGACAAGTATCTCAACCTGGCATTGGGAGTCGTGTCTGGCTTTATTTTGCAAACTGATAGTGCTAGTAATGATGGAATGTCTTCGTATGAAGACAAGTATCTCAACCTGGCATTGGGAGTCGTGTCTGGAGTTTCAAGGCAAGTATTTGTATCATTTCTAGACAATTTCTATTTCAATGTTTTGCCGTTGCCATGGCGTTGTAAATTTATTTGTATTTAGTATAGCTTCACTAGTACGACCAAGTATGTCCTCATATCGCTTTTTTGTGTTGAAATAATCGTTTCATACTGAAATTGACAAATATAAATGGTATTTATTTATATTGTTGACGAAAATTTATGGTGTTTTAGGCATAAAAATCTCTGATTCCTAGGTGAAGTAAAATGAGCCTTGAGCACATGTTTGGTTGTTTGTTACATACATAATAGCCAAGTATTCATACTTATATCTTATTAGTTGGCTCTTATTATAATTTTAAGTGGCACCATGTCTATAAAAGTTTTTATTCGCACTGCTGAATATATAATTGATCCTGTTCCTAACTGCTGTTCCTGTTTCATAGCCTCAGGGAAGTAGAGTTCTGATGAGTCATGAGAACCCCACTCACCAACCCAGAGGGAAGGTAGGGGGATGAGTAGAGGTAGAGGGAAGCCCAGCCATTAGGACCTAAGGTTTCGAAAGCTCCCTGTCTAGCATCCCCACTAGGCCCCATAGTACATGACGGATAAGATGATCCTGACGCCAGGAATGTTCTCCCAGATTTTGCTCCTCACTGACATGTCCGGGATCCACTTCGATCAACTGTGAGCTTGAGTTCATTCGGCTCAATGAACTGTGAGCTTGAGTTCATTCGACTCTTTTTTACTAAGGGAATGCTTCAGGAGGTAGTTTCCTGGCCATACCAATACATATGCCCACATACAAATAACTCAAAAGTTATCCCCATATACTAATAAAAAAGGGTCTTGCAGTCCACCAACCTTGAGAGGTTGATTGCCTTTTAGTATAATATGCAGGTTTGCTAAAGGTCGACAATGAGATTGAACATTATTGGAGTGTAAAAGCTTATATCATGGTCTGTGGGCAATAGACATAATTTCTCTGGTTAGGTACAAAGCGCTTATGGCTTTGTGAATATGGTAGATCCTGTACTAAAGACTACAGCAATAAACTGCATCAACAACTGTACCAGCCGTCACAGAATATTGTTGTTGCAGACAAACACACTGTCAAATCAAGAAATAGGTTTGGGGTTAGGCAGTTCATGAAAGCTAGATGACCTACTATGTGGGGAATAAATCTGTGGGTTGCTGCAGACAATCCTAATGGTTATATTGTGACTTTGAAATTTATACAGGAAGAAGTCCAGATATTCATCGCAACAGATTTGGGTATGACGTGGTGATCTGATATCAGTTTGGTTACAGTCTTAGGTCTTTTGTAGTACAATATAAAGGAAATATTTTCACCACATAATCCAATTATGTGCTTTGGCAAACATTACTGCTTTAGCAAACATTACTGCCTTGGAAAACATTACTTTTTTATAACTACTAATTATGATGATGCCAGCCCAACAACACTTGGTCATGCTATTTGCAAATATTTTCATGTTCTAGATTGTGAAAACAATCAATTTCTAAACAAATGAGTAGTGATTATTTCAAATTTGAATAGCATGACCCAATTTTGAGGCTGGTTATGCCACTAATAACTAAAGTCAATGGTGTAATGATTATCTAAGAATGTATGTAGTAATTGTAGAAATAAAGACATTTTGCTAATCATGATTTGAGTGTTCTTTTGTGGGTATCACAGACTTATTTTGGTGCCATACTATCTTTGGAAAGTAAGAAATATTGGAAATTTGTATTGATAACATGTTGCAGCAATAAAAAAGGACCTTTGATAAAGGTATTTGTTTCATGTGAGCACAAAATGTAAATTTTACTCCACTACCTAGTTTATATAAAAATTCAATAAAAATATTTCTATTTATGCTACATGCATGAAACTTCGGGTACTTGTAGATCATAACCGTGTCTTTCAGTCATACTCATAAAATTTTTTGACATATTTGAAATTTGAACCGCTAAATACATTTATGCATAATTGCAACATTTTTTTATATCATAATTTATGCAAATTTATGCGAGTAAATCGTTAACCAAGCTCCGGATGAAATTGAAATTGATATTGTTGGAAAGCGGAAGTCCTCCTCTTTCGAACGATGCAATTTCTGTTTCCGTGCGATGTATAATTTGAGAGATATAAGCGTTTGAAACAACACCACTCGAAATTGGTACTTTTCGACCGGATGAGAATGAGTGTAACTCTTCGTCGCTAATAAGTGATATATTTCTTGCATTTGTTGACTCGGCATGATTAGTATTTGCACTTGTAGACTAGCTGTTACCAAGATCAAGATTTTCAGTCGCTAAAATACTTGAAATTATACTTAATTCGTCATCCAGAATAACAGGGTCCCCTAAAAATGTATTTTGGGTTAATCCTGACAGTGAAAAGTCTTCCTTGTCACTATCCATTTTGTGAAGTGCGAATCCAAACAATTTGTCAAAGTGAGGCCAGAAAATTCTACAAAAATATGTAGAAGAACAAAATAAGAATAAATTAACTAGCGTATAACTAGCGTAAAGTTCCTTTGAGATCTTCATCTCTCTTTGTACCTATCTGTTCGCTAATTTAGTTCAACAATAAGTCTATAGAAATTATATCTTAAATTATTCTTTTGAGAAAACCTCCTCAATCATGGAATAAGTCAGTTAAAGCCCTCGAACCTCGGCTGTTAGCCAGATACAGTCTTCGGGCTTCACTCTCAGGCTGTATCTGCCTAACAACCTCGGTACTCGGGCTTTAACTCTCACATTCGATATTCTCATTCGGATCCACAGTACTTATATTATAAACACGTATATCCCTCTCATGGACAAGGTTAATGTATGGTCATGGCTGAGAAGCTGAAACGCACCCTGGTGGGGAATGGAATGGACCATTTCCATTGGGTAGCCCTTTCAGCACGAAGGCTGGTATCCATAGGGTCCCTGTATCTATAAATAAGCTATTTATAGGAATTACAATTTAAGGAGCTTAAACGCACCCTAGCTGGCGCAGTAGCAAATCTAAAAGAAAAAGTCAACTACTATGTGCACGGAAAGCCAGGTTGAATCGTTCCTTGTTATTCTAGATAGTAGCTAAATACAAACTTATGTCACAGTATAATATGCAGTAGAACTTTACCAGACAAAAGCCAGGACAGCTTATTGTAGAATACATACATGGATCCAATAAGTGGGATTTTATTGCACTGAACAGATGAAAATCTGGGCTCAAGGATGAAAACATTTCTTTCAGTTATAGATAGTTATGATGAAATTATGGATTTTATATTTCCTCCCAATTTACCTTTTTTCATGATGAATTTCGAGTTGGTGCCTGGGAGATGTTTCTTTTACAGTTAAATGTCCTCCACTGCATGTTGCAGTCCGGTTTCGAATCTCGAAAATCTTTCGAAAATCACGAATATTTCCGCGAAAATGTTTTTTACGTTTCGCCAAGGCTTTTGTTTAGCGAAAAATTTATATATTCTCCGTCCTGTTTGACACAGGTGAATTTTTACGTCGCACAAATTTGTATTGAATTAGGATATTAATAAGTAGAATTCTGATAAAGTAAGTTTTTATCTATTGAGTCATGCGAAAATTACGTAGTTACACGAGGGGTACAACGGAATTGCATCTTTTGGATGCTCATCCTACGGCCTATACGAATCTTCTCATTTCATGGGGACATCCTGAGTCTGCAATCACGGCTTCAATTTTTGAATTGCAGAATAATTAGATGCACTATCTAGTGTATATAAGATATCTATGGCCAAGCTCAATGGGTAAATGAGAGCCTGCAACAATCTCAAGGAAATTTGATCACCGCCCACTAATTATTATGATAACTTATTTCCAATCCAACCAATCATATTCTCTGAAATTAGTGTGCGTGATGCAGTGTGAGTAGTAACTATAAATATACTTTATTACTGTTGTAGTTCATAGAGTAGCTCGAGAATTCAAACTTTAAAAAAAATTGGCAGTTTAAATTACTTTTGATCGAATAAATAAAACAGAATTTACACCGGCGATGGTACATTAGTATGTGATACAATTCACTAGAACAAAACATTTTGACTTGATGAACAGTTTAAATGCCGTTACTCAATATTTATTATTATACATTTGACATTTTGATCGATTTGATGGTGTGCAACACGAGCTCCACCTTTGAATTTACTATATGAGTAAATTCTTAAACACGTCCGAATGATAAATCCGTCATTATGATAAATTCGCGGCACATTTTGAATTTATCAATAGAGTTAATCATAAAACCACAAGCATTGGACAACACTTCCTGTTATAAATGTAATGCCTCTAAAAGGGAGACTGGTAGCGAGGGGATGGATAAATTTTCAAGATTTCCGAAAAAATAGTTTTTAAAAAAGTTTTAAATGAGTTTTAGGCCCGTTTCATACGCCGTACTTCACATGTGCTGAATGCTGATAATGAGGGATTTCAGCTCATTATCTATTGTCTTTAAGGGGGGAGGGGGTACACATGGATTGATGGCCATTTTTGAAATGGCTGTAATTTTAAAGATATTCACCAGAGTTATGACAAACTATATATCAGTAGAAAGCTTATGACCTATAGAAACTAAAAATACTAATCACTAGTACCTAACGTCCTTTGTAACCTGACACCAGGCCGGCAATCATACCACATGCTGTGCAAAACTAGGGTGCATTTGAGAAAAGATATCTGCTTATAAATTGCTTGGAATTTTGAGAAATTTTATCAGTAAGTAGTATAGGCATCAGTATCTTAAATGAGCATAGAACTTTTTTGTATGATAAATCTAGTGGTCACAGCAGAGGTACAAATTAACATAGTTTTTTTCGATAATATTTTTTGTCATAAAATGTATTCCACACAAGATACAGAAATTTCCTATGTTTAATTAAGACAGCTCTAATAAACGAATAAGCCCTGAAAATTTCAGGACAATTGGTTAAATGCATCATGAGATATCTTTTCTCAAAGACGGAAAATGTACATTCCGAGAAAACAAGTGTTAAAGTTTTTAAACAACTGTTCGAGCTGTTCCTGACAGGTTTCAGGAACTTTAGCCTAATTTTTTGTCATTAGAAGTACTCTTAGCACTTCAGAAGCCTCCAGCCTCATAGGTTGTCCCTTTTGCTTCTCATAGAGCTTCTTCTCTCGGTTTTCTTTTGGAGCTGCTCCACCTGTCGACGTCTGTTGTTTTTTTCAGATGTGTGGCGGTTAGACTTTCTGACCTGTTTCTTGTCTTTTAAGAGCAAACTTAGTTTTTCCTGCAGTTTGATGTTTGGTTTAAAAGATGTTCCTGTGTGTTAACTTAAATGACTCTATTGGTATAGCTAAATTTTCCATAGTTTTCTTTGCCGAACCCTCTTGCTGGTAACAAGGATGTTTAAAGATGCACACTCCACTCATCGTGCTTACCAAAGGAACATGCAGATCAACATTTACCACAGTTTTTTGTATACGTGAATCAATTGTCAATACCAATTACCAAATTACATGATTTTGTAAGATAACATTGTCTGTAACTGTATTCTTGTCCTATTTCTGCAAGTGGTACACTCGGTAAACATATTCGGCCCAAAACAAGCTCTCAAACTTGGTACACCTTGACATGTAATTACAGTACCTAAAATGCAGTACAGAAACAACCTCATTAATATTAATACCAAGAAGCATTAAAATTGTAAAATTATAACAACGAAGCAAGAAATAATGTATTGATATCTGTACCAAAATTGGGTAGAGAAAATCGATCTCTTGATATCATAATATTGCAAATTTAACATTTTTGAGTTATTGTATACTAGAATCAATCATTCAATGATAGAAAAATACTTACATCCACAACTTTTAAGTTCATCAGAACAAACGTTTGAAGATCTGTTTATAAGATGCCCAAGAATCCAAATCGAAGATGGCTATTGATATTTGGCATTGAATGCCCATTGAAATAATGCCCGATTATTGCCTGAATGTGTTCACGTTTTATCGTCGTCTTTATAGCGTATTTCTTCACCCCAGTGAATAAAGTTTCGTTTTAATGTTTTCTGTGAACCACTATTAGTTATTTTAAACCATATGTTAAGAAATATATACACAAAAGTGATCAATATTTATTAAATATTGAAACACATTTTCGAGTTTGTTCTGTTTGAATCACTGGTTCTCAAAAAACGCATCTATGCGCATAATCGCCACGTCAATCCGCTGCAAAATCATCTAGAGATGAGTCTGTATCATTATTTTATATTAGGGAGGGGAGGAACAGCAGTATATTGGGAAAAACATGAAAAATATGAAGGATTCTGCCTTTCGTTACCATGGCAACCAAGCTGAAAATTACAGTGAGGTCGTTAAAAACATCTCCTGACAGAACATTTTTTTTAATTCAAGCAAATAAATACTTTCACAACATCAATTACATGCCACAGTAACTATTTAGCTCAAAAAATGGAAATGATTCCATGTGTACCCCCCCCCCCTTAATGTATTCGGCACATGTGAAGTACGGCGTATGAAACGGGCCTAAAGTTTAAAAAAGTTTAAAAAGTTAGATTTTCAAGGAAGTTAAAAAAGATTAAAAATTTTAAAAAGTTAGGGGTTAGTGATTAGGGATTAGTTGGTATGAGTTAGTGGTTAGGGGTTAGTGGTTAGGGGTTAGTGGTTAGGGTTAAGTGGTTAGGGTTGGAGTTAGGGTTAGTGTTAGGTGCCGCGAATTTATTATTATGATAAATTCAAAATGTGCCGCGAATTTATCATATGATGATAAATTCGAACGTGTTTAAGAATTTACTCATATAGTAAATTCAAAAGTGGAGCTCATGCTGTGGTGTACCTGGCTGGATTAAAATGTAGTTAAGTAAAGAAGCATAGTGGCACAAACTCGTAAAGCCAAACTAATTTCGAACGAGCTTGGAACAGATACTGACATGAAGTAACGTAAACTTCAAAGGTTTTCCAAAGGAACGTTTTCTCGAACCCCCCCCCCCTCCCTCCCTCCCTCCCAATCCCTCTCTTTACTGTAGATGTGTCGTTATACCAAATTTGGACGCCCTCTTTTAGGACTCTGGACGCATGTAGAGGTCACATTACCTATCCCAAAATTAAAATAAATCAGGAATAAATTACGTAAAATTAAAACAAAAGTTTGTAGAAAGTAACGAATACTTCGCCACACTGAAATGAAAATAACGAAGTAAAACGTTACTTCTTAAAACGACTTCGTTGCAAGTAAAAGTACTCCAGAAAAAATTTACTTCGTTACATGCTGACTTCTCAAAAATAGTACTCAAGTACAGGAACGAAGTACATTTACTTCGTTACTTGACACCACTGATCGGATCACAGTTTACTATTTTTGGTAAATGTGTCTCCTAGGCATGCTGATGTAGCTACCTCCTCCACAGGCCATACAGCCCCGCAATGAGTATGCCCGTTCGCAGGTTAAAATTTGAAATCTGAGACGAAGCTGCTGATGTAGGGCGTAACAGTCTATCTGTCATATGCCTAACATTGTCAATTGCGAAAAGTATGCCATTTACGCAGCTGTAGTTTGATAAAATAAAACATCTACACTCCCACGAAAATTGGACTATCATCCTGACGTAAAATGACGTCATCACGTTTTACGTCGCCGACGACGTCATATAGTTTTAGCGAAAAATCCTGGATCCGCCCCTGTCATACATATCAAGTTTCTTAAGTAAAATATCGTGGTCTATATAGTATCAAAAGCCTTTTGTAAGTCAAGAAATACTTTAACACGGTCCATATTAACAAACGATTCATTTGTGCTATCTAAAAGGGCAGATACTACGGAATGAAACTGCCTAAAGCCAAATTGACGATCAGATAGCAAATTATTCGAGATAAAATAATCATATAATTGTTCATATAGTATTTTTTCAAAAACTTTACTAATAACATGCAGGTAGAATGGAAATAGGACGATAATTATTAAATAACTGTTTCGTGGACCTTTTTGTGTAAAGGAATAACTCTTGCTTTTCGACTATTTAAATGGAACAGTTTCATTAAAAATTGCCCTATAGACCTTATTCATAAATCGTGACGAGGCCTCGTATCCTAGGATACGGGAACAAAACGCGGGAAAACAAGCGAAAACTGCTTGACAAGCCAAATTCAGATGATATTGTGTGGACTTTAACTGCTTGTTTCTTGTTGCTTTTTGCGATTTATAACGATTTTTGTGTGTATTTTAAGACTTTGTGACCACAATGAAAGCGGTAAATGAGTATATTATAAAAGCGATCGGTTTTTCTCTCGTTTTTGTGTGGAAAAAAAGGCAACGTAGCGATGGTGTTTATTCAGAAGCGAAAAACAGTATTTTACTGAGATTTTAACGTCAATATAAAGGTTATTCCGTGAAAAATCAAGACAACTATGAAATGAAAGTATATTTTTTCGAATTTGACATTAATATGAAAGAAAACAACAGGTCAAAAATCACAGAGAACGTCAAATGTTATTGATTCGTACGGGAAAATATGAACTATGGCTGTGGCTCGATAACATTCTGCAAGCAGCTTAGGGACCGGTCATTATTTATGGCGGGGGTTGGCACTGAAGAGAAATGTTTTTTGTAGCAAAAATTTTGCTGACCCAACCATTAAAAAGTAAAAAAATTGATTACCCAACCTCAAATATCAATTAAAAAATAAATACCCACCCCTGGTCAAAAAATTTACAAAAGGTACCATTCAGTTGTCACATGGATTGTGAAATTTTCTGCAGTCTGAAGTTTCATGTTGTCCGCACATGTAGCTACTTTCTTTGGAGATCCCATCGGAAATTGATCAAGATAATGACTCTGTTTGATATATACTTTTCGTTGTTTCTTTACACATTCAGTAAATCTTAGTATAACACCAAGTTCATCAATTGCTGCTATTTTGCTAGCAAATCCAAAGTTGATTACTGTAGGCACAATTTTTGGCCACTTAATAGTCAAAGGTCATGCATAAATAAGAACAGTCTTAATTAATATTACCGCCTTACGGAGAATTTATATTAATTGTGCTACTCTAGGATCTAGAAGACCCATAGGTCCCAAACTTGACTAGCAACATAACCAAGTTAGCTATGTTAATTCATTATATATATAGGATCAATGTTAAAGGCAAGGTGGGCTATAAGCTATAATCGTTTGTATGGCTTATAGAAGGCTAATTGCTGCGAATTGAATAATGAATGTAGCACAATAGTTGCATGATGACGTCAAAGAAACTAGTCAGACTACATTTGCAAGTTTTGCAATTCTCATCGCTTAAATTCCCCATACCTGAACACAAAATAAACAGTAAACAACGATTACCTTTTACATACCATATATAAAACGGAGTTTTCATCCTTTCTAGAAACTCACTTCCTGAACTTTTGAGCGCAAATTTTATGTATTAAAAATGTATATCATATTCACAGCGGTTAATACCATTAATATAGCGCGGGCACAATACAAAACACGAGAATTTTAAAATGTTTTGATTTGCAAATAAATAAATAATTTTTGATGTCATAAAACTGTTTAAATTTAACTCAACACAAACTGGTAAGTTCATGACTTGTATAATTTACTTATATGTTGTTATATTGCAATTCTGTACCCTACTCCTTTGAAAATTGTTTGCAATTGCATATGATGTGAACATGTGGTCATGTATTATAGTTGTGTCATGAATTTAATAATACCCCAATGGCTTCGAAATAGACAATGGATGGAAAAAGTCATGAATATTGAGCTTATTTAGCCTTTAAACACTTGATCGTCATGCAAATACAGTGTATTGTTTGTTTCCAGAACCCCCTCAAGCAAACTTCAACTTTTTTTGTTAAATTGTATATCATATTTTGCTTCATACACTGTATGTGTGTGTGTGTGTGGGAACACTCATGTTTGGATGCTTGGCATAGGTTAATGACCAGTATTTCATTGGAGTCATCAGGGATATAGTTGTATATTCCTGAAATTACCTCTAAACACCTAAAACAGCATTCCCTAAAATTTTAATTGTTTTCTTACATTGCTCTCTATATCGCTCAAACTCGCATTGCTTAAATTGCAGATTTTGCTTAAATCACCTAAATTTGCTTAATTAAACTTGCATTATCTCGTTATCGCCCCAGAGTAGGGCCTACTGTTGCCATTGCTTTTTAGTCCTCGCATTATCTCATTATCGCCCCAGAGTAGGGCCTACTGTTGCCATTGCTTGTTAGTCCCCAATACTTCAGTGAGTCATGCTTTGGAAATGACAATATTTTTTTATTACCCAACCCTTGAGTTGTTTTGTTTTTCATTTACCCAACCTTTTACTTACTCAAAATTTAGTTTACCCAACCCTTTTCTCTTCGGTGCCTCCCCCAGCCATAAATAATGACCGGTCCCTTACAATTTCAAAAATGAAGGCTACATTACCTGAGTAAGTTATAATCCTGTTTCGTCAACAATAGTTTCATATTTCTTACGATTTTGGTGTTGTATAGACGTTTCGTAGCCTGGTTGGTTGTTTTGGCCATACAAACAAGTTTGACAATAATACAAAGTCAAAGGTTTCCTTTTTCGATTGACTCCAGCATCTTTTGCTTTAAATATCTTGTTATATTTTCTCAGAAGTATTTTTTTTAACTTTCAAGCTCAGTTTTATAGATATTATTTTCGAAAAAAGCCGTAATACTCACGAAGAAAGCCGCCATAGCCGACAGCAAAAAAACACATTTTGTCAATTTTCCCGCGTTTTTCCCCGTTTCCTAGGATACGAGGCCTCATCACGATTTATGAATACTTAAGATCTATTAAAAATCTTTGTTAACGGGTCAGCAATTACTGGAGCAGCAATTCGAATTATTTTGAATATTCATTCAGATCTATTAAAAATCTTTGTTAACGGGTCAGCAATTACTGGGCAGCAATTCGAATTATTTTGGCAGGAATTTTATTAATTCCATTAGATTTACAGGCATTTAAGGACCGAAGAAATTTATTTACTTTGGCCACAGAACTGCTTGTAATTTGAAAACACTTGTTATTGTTTTCGTTAAATAATCCATAGGATTCGTGTCACTGTTTTCAATGGTATTGGCGATACAATAAAACAATACTACCGAAACAATAAAACAGTTTCTGACAAATAGATCAATAACTTAAAGCGATGAAGATAATTTTTTAGTAAATGCGTGTACTGACTATGAAAAAAGGCAGTCACAAATTAATTTCAGAGGTATTACAAGGAGCAAATTACATTGTGAATAAATGATATAATGCATGTGTTATCTTTTGTGAATTAAGTGAAAAACAATATAAGAGGCTATGCATAAAGATGAGGGACGATTAGTAACTAATCGGTGGGATGATTAGTTTCTAATCGTCCCTCATGTTTTAGCAACTGAGGTAAATTAGTCATTAATTGTATCTCGCGAGACAAAGGATTTCGAGGTGGCTACGATATTACACTGTTTATTATTAGCATGACAAAATTACTGGATGCTGATTGGTTGAGAGGAGTACAATTATTTCATTAATTGTACTGCAGTACAGTTAATGATTTTCTCAAAACTGGCAAACAAAATGGCGGAAAGGTATTTTAAACACAATTGCGAAATGAAATTGCCGTGGAAGAACTAGATGAAAATACGAACAAAAGCACCAAATTTGGCTTGAACAAAGGAACTAAATGGAAATACAAACAAAAGCACCAAATTTTGGTTTGAAAGTCTGGCAGGACTGATGGGCTTTGGCGAGAGAATACGATGTTGACATTGAGAAGTACGTATCCAATTTTGTCATGCTAATAATAAACAAGTAATCATGCGATGTTGCTCGTACAATTAGGGATTAATAGTACATGTGATGTTTAGAAATTTGCCACATTGACCTCCAAACATCACTCGTACTATTAATCCCTAATTGTACGAGCAACATCGCATGATTACCTATACACCCTTTTCATAAATGGCTGCCGATTAAAAATTCTTTTATGTACATATAAATTGGCCCAACTAGTCTCGTACTAATGTTAAGATTTCAAAGGAATTTCTACCCAGAAGCGAGGCTAGTCGGGCCAATTTATTTAGCTTCCAAGTCCACAACAGTCAAAGACTCGCTCGTAGTATTTGTAGCGACTCGATCGCGATATAAGGACAATAATAAATTCAACAATGAATTTAATTCCCTATTTGGGTAAATTCACACCAACCTCGATTTGGGGGATAAATTTGATTTATATTCCGATTTACGTGATGAGTAAGAGATTTTTACCACCGTGACCGGGAGACTAACATTCTCGTACCCAGATCCATAACCGGATACCATAAAAACATAGTAAGAAAACAATGTCCGGTGTTAGAACTAGCCAATCAGATGCCAGTTCGGAATATGGATTTGGCCAAAGCCCCTCGTCGCACCTCGCGTAAGAAGGGCTCTGGGTACGAGAATGGGGGACTAACTGATCTATTCGCTAAATATGAATCATATATCCCGTGGTCGAGGTAGACAACGGATTTAGTTTACGATTGTCGAAGTGCAGATAAAATTTTAATTTATGCGCCGGATAGCGGCTAAACGCCATAAATAAAATACACAGCAAAGGCGTAATCAGGGAAACTCAAAAAGAGTTTAATTACATCTAACGTCTGTTATTTAATTGCATGTGAAAGCTGCATCGCAATTAAGCGTTTTTCATCCGGGCATGTACGCACATAAAAGTTTAAGTCATTTAAATGTTACATGTCATTACAATGCAACTTGAATTACCAAATGTTTGTATCAGCCGCTTGCTCACTAATTAAAAGCTTTGTGTATAAACTCATGCAGGAACCTCGTACGTGAATAACTAAGTGTGCACAAGGTTTGACAAGCAATGATAAATTATTTACATGCAAATGCATCTGTAAGATGAAGAAATACAACTTAAAGTGATTTAAACTGCATTTAAAGCAATTGCAATTTTAAGTTTTAGTTCGGTAACATTAATAATATAATAATATAAAACATACAAAGCAGCCGTAACAGTAGTATGCGGTCTTTGAGTGCCTTCTAATTAAATATGTTATAGACAATCATATTTTACATGATATGTAATGATACTTTGTGTTCAATAATTTAGTAGAAGATATAATAATAATATGCAAGACGTTAATACGTTTGAAACGATCATTAGCGAGCTTAAAGCCGATTTTCCACTTCAACCGTATCGTAGCGAAGCGTAGTGTATTTCTTTGTTTCCTGACCACTAGAGTGGAACTAATGACTTCGACACGAAAGAAAATGCTACGGTTGAAGTGGAAAACCGGCTTAAGTAAGCGACGTTGTTATCAACAGGGACGTCAGATACCGAGGGGGGAGTGGATTAAAAACTGTGTTTGTGGTAATCTCCACTGCGGCATATATGACAAACGAGCGCTATGATGCAAAATGCCACCAAATGCCACCTACATGTCGTATGTCGACTTAAGGCTATAGTTTCCACTCAGGGAAATTATCCGTGGATTGGAACGGACAAGAAAATTTGTCTTTGTTTTGTGAGCTTGGGGTTGGAATTAATGACTTTAACACAAAGAAAAATTTTCTTGTCCGTTCCAATCCACGGATAATTTCCCTGAGTGGAAACTAGCCTGTACACTTCTCAGGAGTCCATAATCTCTAAAAGTAATGTTCTAAAATAATGTTGTGGCAGTGTTAACTTGAGCCTGCACTGGTGGTACATTGTTATCGTTTTGGTCCCCATTGTTAAAACGATTTTTATACAGTTTATGAACTCTAGTGTTCCACAAGAAAGCAACTGCAATATATAATCCTTGTAAGCAGACAAAAATGACGAAAAGATATTCAAATGCCACGATATTTCCCAAACCAGCATGTAAGAATCCGAAAATCCAAGGAAAACCAGTCAGCGTAGACAATTTTATGCAGATTTTCAGATTTTGTTTTCTGTTTTGATGAAGCTCTCCCGTGGACTCCTGCTGTTTTACCAAAAATATTGCTGTACGAATATATATTGAGAGGTTGAAAAGAAGCGACAAGCCAATTGGCAATATAAACAAGTAAATCTTGGAATGCTCAGTCGTCAAGAAACAGAGAGTAGCATAGTTGATAGGAAATACTTCTGTCTTGTCCAGTGCAATACAAACAGCAACAAATGCGGCTGGTAATGTCCAAACGACAGCTGTATACTTTATAAAGGTATCGCAGTTTTCGCCTTCGCTTCTTCTTGCTGAGATTAAGCTCTTCGAGAAAACAACGCATGAGTGATGAGAAATAACAGACATGGCGACGAACGACACAAGAATGAAGTAATGTTCCAAGATGCCAATGGCGGTACAAGAAGTTGCATTTTCTTGTACATATGAACGAACCAACCAAACAGATTGATATATCAACAACGACAGACACAAATTCATCAAATTTTTTCCAGGAAGAGTTCTCAGTTCCGAGAACAATGTGTAAGTTATTAGAACAAGGAGAACAGAAAGTATGGAAATAATAAACCCAACCATCGTTAAAATTTCCAAAGGTTGTTTATGGTTGTCATGGTAATTTGCAGACCTGATGATGCTGATAGGTATATTTGGAAGACAAATAAAAACTGTTGCATTTCTGAGTGATTTTGAAAATTCGTCAATCAATGAACTGATATTTGCATCGTCAACATTAACATCACCAGCAGTGTCGTTATTTCTTTTTATGTAATACTTTCCAAAAGGATACATCCGGTTCGTTGCATTGTGGTATAAAGTTAAGTTAGTAAGAATGACGTATTCATGTCTGGAGACGTTAAGCCATGCTTCACAGTCAGAAAAAAATGTTTGAGGACAAAGAGTTATATTCTCGTCCGTTTTCTCTATTACGTCTTTCAACAAAAACGTCTTTCCTGTTTTGTTTTCAATTACTTTTCCATTCTTTTCGTCTATATTATATTCGTTGATGGAAAACGTCTTTTGTCCAACACAAGCAAGTTGTTTTACCAAAGAATTTATTACCGACAAATTCCATCCAAGATATGATATATCTTTCATCAGTTTTGGAAGCTGTGAAAAATTGTCGATTGTATCATTGCTTTGGTTCAACCGCGCCAGGACTTGAAATGGAGTCAATGTTACTCGAAACGTAACAACAATGTACCTTTTCTTGTCTTTTGGTCATACGTTTGCTCGTAAGTACCCGTAGTAGATATTTTGTTATGTTTCAACTTAAGAACTGTTTCCAACTTTTTTTCCAAAACTTTCTCTATTGTCATTAGTGTTTGATAATTGGCGGATTGGCCTGGAACGCTTGGCGAACCTGGAGAGCGTGGAAAACGTGGAGAACGTGGAGAACGTGGAGAGCGTGGAGAGCGTAGAGAGCCCGGAGGTCTTAGAGGGCCCGGAGATCCCGGTGGTCTTGGAGATCCCGGAGTTCTTGGAGGTCCCGGAGATCCCGGTGGTCTTGGAGAGCGTGGAGAGCCCAAAGGTCTCGGAGGGCCCGGAGATGCAGGTGGTCTTGGAGAGCGTGGAGAACCCGGAGGTCCCGGAGGTCTCGGAGGGCCCAGAGGTCCCGGAGGTCTCGGAGGGCCCGGAGGTCCCGGAGGTCCCGGAGGGCCCGGAGGTCCTGAAGGGCCCGGAGGTCCTGAAGGGACCGGAGGTCCTGAAGGGACCGGAGGTCCTGAAGGGACCGAAGGGCCCGGAGATCCCGGTGGTCTTGGAGAGCGTGGAGAGTCCGGAGGCCCCGGAGGTCTTGGAGATCCCGGAGGTCTCGGAGGGCCTGGATAGCCTGAAGGGCCTGGAGAGACTGGAGGGGCTGGTACCTTGTCCATGGGTGTGGAGGACTTAGTTTTGATTAACCACAAAGCAATGAAATATTGATTTGATAAAACATCGTCAACTGAAATTACCTTACCTTTTATACGGCAAAACCCTAAGTTCTTATCAAATACCAAGTCAGATCCACATTTTCGTTTCATGTTTAGTATAGCTTTGGAAGCAGTTTTCTCGACATGAAATACGGTTGAAAATCGGCCGTCATTCGCCCCCGGGCCACCCGGACCTCCCGGAACACCTGGACAGTTGTTGTTTAACTTCCATTGACTTATGTCAGTGAATCCGCGACATAACGCGCATGCTTTGTTCTTGAAGTAACGTTTTCCATCAGAAACAACTTCCACAGGTCCATTCACACAACTATAGTGCAATGGGTGAGAGGAGTTGGAACATCCTCCTTTATCAGTTTTAATAATGCAGTATCGTCGTGGTTGGTCGCTACTTGGTTCGATTTTTTGATTCTTGGCGCCTTGTTTTATCATTAATTTTATCCCTGCTTCAAGGTCATATTCAGCAGGAAGTGTTATGTAAGTGAGAATCCGAATGTTCCAGCTACTGTATCTTGTTATTCCGTGGCAAACGGCGCAATATTTGTTACGATAAGTAATGTTGTTCTCGCCTACTACTGGAAGATACTTCACGACAGGGAAAGAGAAGTTGTGTGGAGGATTTTCACAGTCGAACTTCGTATTATCAGATGGCCAGTTCAGTGGACACTTCTGGATCATCCAAACGCCTTGAATTCTGCAATATTTAGAATGTTCACGAACATTCCTAGTTGTAACACATGTCCATTTGGACTCTTCCGTGTTAATGATGCTAGAAATTTGCACTGTTTGGTTTCCACAACGCTTCTCGTAATCAGTACAGCAGTCGTAAAAAGTTTCAAAGCAAGCGTTGTCATAGTAACAACTGAATTCGTTCTTAAAAATTGCCTTTTTAAGGGAACATGTACTTGAACTATAATCTCTCTTTGCATTTCTTTTTTGTCTATCCTTTGCTGTGAATGCTGCCTTTGGAATTCTTTTCCATACTTCGTGATCGTTAAATAGTTGATATTTCTCATAATCTTGATTCACATTCTCCAAAATTAATCCTTCTACGACGATCTGAATGAATGTAACAGCGAAGACCAGCACAATGTTCCGATGCATAACGCCAAAGGATTTGAGAAATCCTCAAAATACAAATTGTAATTATTAATTATTATTTATAACGGCTGCATAGCGGCCGCTTTGAACATTTGTAGTTACGCAGTCCTGTTATAAACTCGAATATTCGTTTCAAAATAGCATTTTGGCACGTACTCTACCAACTACATACAGCACTATATACAATTCTAGATATCGTTTTACTTTTTATATGTTTTTAACTTTATTAACATAACAATATATTATCATAATCTAACTAACAATACGCTGCGTCATCTGAATAATTTACTAAGTTCTAACTCAATAAGTTCTTAATGAGTTGTTAATGAGTTCTTGTTCTTAATGAGTTCTTAATATTATGAAATTCATAATGTTCTCACAACATCTCGTTTTTCCTCAACTTGGGAATCGATCCGGCTGATAAACCTCACGACCTCGGCGCGTCATGTAAATCGGTTGTCTCCGATCATTAGTGCTGCCCTTGTATGAATTCCTCAACTCATCTACTTTGGCAAGTTTAATCTGGTCCGGCACGACGTCTCGTGTACACTGATCGATTCTGCTCCGGTTGAGTATGTTGTCTTCAAATGTTTCTTCTCTCCGTTCTCTTTCTCGTTTCTCGAAGCATGATCTCTCTCGTACAATCTTGAAATATGACTTGTCTCCCTTAAAAACGTTTTCGTCATCAAATCGGGCTGTTACGGCGTTTCCACGTACCTTGATCACTTTACCAGTAATCGGGCAAAGTGGATCTGTCCGTTTGTTTTTCATGAGAATCCTGTCTCCAACAGCTAGCAATTCTGGACTTTCTCATGTTTTTGCGTTTGTCGTAGTATGTTTTAGACTTCAAATTATACAAGCCATCATTATGTCTGACTTCAGGTTGGTTTTTCCGATATCTCTGGCAATACTTCAAGTCGCACCTTTCTCCCAAACATGAGCTCGAATGGACTTTTTCCTTTGGCAGGATGCGGTATGGCAAGGTAAGCATTTAACATTCCTTCAATGAGAGCATAATATTTCTTGCTTTCTTGTGTTGCAATTCTCTCCATCTTTTTCACCGTTTCCTCTCGGATATCTGGATTTTACCGGTTTGTGAATAAATCCTTTATCGCGAGCATATGCACTCAGCTAATTCTGTACAGCTTCTTTGCAGAGTATAGCAATTCCAGGAAACCAAATCTTTTCTTGAAGAAGTTTCAGCGTGCGGGTCTCTCCCGAGTCCCTAATTTTGTGTGCTTTGGCTCGACAAATCTTCGACTGCTCAGAGGTGGAATCACTTTGTCTTTACATAGGATGATTTTTCCAACAACAGATAAGTTGGACGCTACTCCGAGGAGTCTTGAAACTCTTGGATTGTTTCCATGTTTCTTCCAGAGTTTGCTTTGAATTGCTACTTTTAGGAATTGGTAAACATTGTCGTCCTCTGCCATTTTGGAACTCGTTGTCTTCAGATAGAAAAGGGACATCTTTTTACATTACCAGTTCAGTCTGCAGTCCTTGAAGAATACTTCAACTACTAAATTTTGTTGTTAAACCACAATTTGAAATTTGGTAACAAGTTATTTTTAAATAACCCAAAGGTTGCGTTCCTAAATTTGAATCCGGCGAAATGAGAGCAATTCAAATACCAAACAATAAATTTGCATTCATTCCCAACAGCATGTAAAAATGCGATTCAACTGGCCAGTTTGATCTATTTTTTATCGCAACGATAGAAAAGGATGTCATTCAGAGCTAAAACCTGATATTGCTTGGTGTGAAAAAATGTATAAAAATAGTATTAAACGCACGATCATATATGCCAAAGTTGGATTATGATTACCTTTTTTGATACACTCTGCATGCAAGAGCGAGAAAGCTAAGAATAATAATGTATATGGGCACTATGTTCTTTAAATCACTGCGGCAAATACGCTTACAAGCTAGTCTCGTTTGTTCAATGATTATAATTTAAACAGTACGTTTGCCTGCCCAGGGCTACCCTGGGTTCAGAGCTTTCTTCTTTAAAGTGGCTCCCTAGGGTTTGTTATCTACAGTTATCTAGGAGACTCCTGTTTCTTCACATGACATGAAGACGAAATTTATAGGACACATCAGTTGACAATGCCCTTCTGGACATTATAATTTGCTACATTTATGTTGAAAGTCTGTTACCATGACAACATCCTGCTTTGAATAAAGCTCAAAATTTGTCTTTTTCTGGCCACTCTTAAAATGCCCCTCGGTTAAACTTTTTAAACTTTGCACACAAGATAAAACTGGTATAATGACTATTTTTCTTCAATTTTCAACACGCGTGTCCGGAGGTCAGATGTGGCTTCAAGAAAAAGATAGGCAGTTTATTAGAAGGTATAGCAATCAATAATATTCTGTGTTTAATAGTCTAAATACAAACAACCGACTTTTTCTGGTGTTTCTCCGAGGGGTTTTCTGAACTTGTTTTTTACTGGTCAGATAACTTTGCTTTTACCCTATTTGCGCGCATATCAGCGCCCCCTCCCCCCTCAAAAGTTTTATTCTTTATTCCGTTAAATATCCACCAACCTCGATTTGGGGGATATATTTGTCAAACGTCAGTATAAGTAAGAGATTTTTACTGAGACCGAGCGAACTAATTGATTTATTCACTCAGTTTGAATCGTATAGTTCCCATGGTCGAGATAAAATAACGAATTTATCGAAGTGCTGATAAAATTTTAATTTATGCGCCGGATAGCGGCTAAACACCATAAATAAAATACACAGCAAAGGCGTAATCAGAAAAAGAGTTTAATTATATCTAACGTCTGTTATTTAATTGTATCTAAAAGCTGCATTCCAATTAAGCGTTTTTCATACGGGCATGTACGCACATAAAAGTTTAAATCATTTAAATGTTACATGCATTATAATGCAACTTGAATTACCAAATGTTTGTATCAGCCGCAAACTCACTAATTAAAAGCTTTGTGTATAATAAAATCAGTGCAGGAACCACGTACATGAATAATTAAGTTTACATAAGGTTTGACATGCAATCATTAGGCCTGTTTCAAACGTCGCGCTTCTCGTGTGCCCAATGCATTTCAGCTGATTATCTATGGTTTTAATGAGCATTTCAGATTTTCAGCTGATTATCTATTATTTTTAATGCGTTCGGCACATGAGAAGCGCGACGTTTGAAACAGGCCGAAGTTATCAGTCTACATACAAATGCATGTAACATAAACAAATGCAATTTAAAGTAATTTAATTTGCATTTAAAGTAAATGCAATTTTAAGTTTTAGTCCGGTATAACACTTAATATATAAAACATAGAAAGCAGCCTTAACAGTGGCGGATGTATATGTGGTATTTAGTGCCCTCTAGTTATAGACAATCATATTTTACAAATATGTAATGATATTTTGTGTTCAACAATCTGGAAGATATAATATGAAATATGCAAGACGCTAATACATATACGTTCAAAACGATCATTAGCAAGCTTAAGCAAGCGACGTTGTTATCAACACGGACCGGAGTAAGGCACTGAGGGGGGGGGGACTGGATTAAAAACTGTATTTGTGGTAATCTTGGTGTGGTAATTTGTGGTAAAAAATGCCACCAAAATTAGTTATGACTATATTAGTATAGGTAATAACATGGGAAAAATGAATGATTCAACCTCTTGTTCCATGTTACAGTATTAAAAACGCTATAAAATAAATTCATACTTAATTATAACTTTTCTTAGGTTCACAACGAAGCGTGTTCGCATATCGCCGTCTTGTTAACACTTTTTCTTCGCCATTATTGCTCAGATTTTTATGACATTACGTGTACATGTAGCCAAAAGTTGCCTGGTTATTTTGCTGTAGATAAAAGTTATGGATGGATGTAAAAAGTTGTTAAAATCCACCATTTCATTTTCGAAAAAAAATCACTCTTGTATTTTAGCAGTCTTCCTGTTGTAGTTCAACCCCCCTGAAACCAAATTTTTACTACAATACGTCACAAATTGTTTACTTTTTCAACCAATTGAATCACATAAATTAGTTTGAAAATATCACGAATGAAATAACCTCTAGCATCCCGCATGGAGACAACAAAATTTTCGCCATGAAATGTTTGTGCAAATTCTTCAACTTTCTTGCAGTTTTGAAAACAAAATTTATATGAGAGTATATAGAAAAATAATTAGAGTTCAATGTGGTATAATTTTTCGTCATGTTTTATTTACGTGTGCGAAGTATTTTGCGTTTTGCCGAAGTCGTATATTCATCAGTTGATATATAGTTGTCAACCTTAGGTATATTCTATATATATATATATATGAACAATGCTTTTCATTGTGTGCTTCCGCGCGCGACAAATGACAGAGGAATGGGGCGAGCTTATTATAAATTGTCATTTGGAAGCATTTGGTGCATTCTACACGCCGTACAACCATATAGGGTTCAAGTGACTTTAAAACTTTTTCTTTTTAAGCAAAAGCAAATTTTCGTGAAACAGTAACACTAGTAGCATACTTTAGTAAGCTGCAAATCAATTTTGGGGTTACGAGTACTTTAAGTTCTTGTTAGCCATGAAACAAGAGTTAAACACCTATACTCCTACCAATGTGGTGGGCGATGAATCCGATGATTCCGCGCGCGCTTAGAAAAATAACCTTGATACTCGGAGTACTGCACCCTCCTCTTATTGCGCCTTTGGGGGAAAGCATAGCCTATCGAAGGGGAGATGGCTGTGAAACTCATTAGAATAACAATATAACTCATTATCTATGTTGGTCAACGTTTATTCATAAATCTGTTCCTTCACCGTCACGTGTGTATTGTATTTTTACCCAACTAACAAATAGCAATGTTTTACGAAAGTCACCTATCCGTGACTCGAACAATATAGGGAAACTAGAAATTGCTATTGGTGGATTTGGTAAAAATACAATACACACGTGACGGTGAAAAGACCTGATTTATGAATAAATGTTGACTAACATAGATAATGAGTTATATTATTATTCTAATGAGTTTCACAGCCATCTCCCCTTCGATAGGCCATGGGGAAAGCCATGGCCCGAAAGTGCTTAGAGATGCAATTTCGTGGCAATCCCCTGGGGAATAAATTTGCTGTGGTTCAATGCATAGTATCATAGATTCTCAATTACCACAAAAAGTTCCCATTGCTTCCCAAGCAAAAAACTTGCTCAGCACCGCGAAAATGGGTGATCAGTGATTATCCCTCTCTATTAAATTGTACCGGGTGTATAAAAAAAACGTAACCTCAGAATTTCTTAAGAAATCCACTTTGCAATTCTTAAGCATAAAAGATTTTAGGCCCCTGGGAATTGAAATCGAATTGCTAATAGATCATATTGCTGTTGTTGTACTGTACTTGTAAAATAAAAACATATTAAGTGTCATTAAATAAATGCATAAATTGTGCTTTATGCACTCGTGTGTGCAGTAATTTTGACAGTTGTGCTACTTAAATTCCCAGGCACCTAAACTCTAATTTGTCTTAAAACAATGTATCGACTTTGGGAAATTCCGAGGTTGCGTTTTTTTATACACCCTGTATTTCAGCAAGAAAATGTGTAATTTTGTATTCAAATACACAAAAATGACTTGCGTCGTCAGAAAGCTTACAAAAACCTACATACAAGACATTTAAACAGTTTTTTTATATCTCAAATTGTTTTCGAGTTATACGCTGTCAGAAACGCGTTTTTTACCTAGTACCCAGTCCTTATTGCGACATTTTTGGTCCAATTTTCAAATTTAAAACAGCAAGCAAACAATCAAAAAAGAGTTGAAAAGTCTTACATGCGGTTTCTTCTACGTTTTCTGATGTGCAAGACATTTTTATTGTAATTGAATACAAAATTTTCCATTTTTTGCTGTAATATAATTTGATAGAGGATAATCATTCTCGGTAAATGTCTTTCAAATAAAGCACAAAACAAGTACTTCCCACATGCCATTGGTTGCCACGAAGCGAAAATTTTGGCCAACGGCCACGGCATTACGCTGTCTTCCGGGCTGTGTTGTACGAAAGAATTGGTATAGAAGGGAGCAAAGGTGCCGACGTTAACGAAGGGAGCAAATGTGCCGACGTTAACGTTTAAATATTGATGTATTGTTTGCTTTATATTTAATAGCTAATTCAATTTGTTTTAAAAGCTGATCGTTGCGCGTATTTTAAATGAAGAAATGGAGCATATAATTTCAGTGTGTCTTTATTGATTACTCTTTTTTATTATATTAAAATTTTTAAATAAAAAAGAAAGCAAAGTTACTTGCATGCGCAAATTTGAAATCATTTTATTTCATATTCAAAGTTCCTCGATAAGCAGTTCAATTTTATAAAGAACAGTTAAAAAGGTTTGCGAAAAATTTGTGGTTGAATTTTACATCAAATTGAAGCTTATATTACAGTACGTATAATAATTACATACCCAACATGGTATATATGTTTGGGAAATTGATAATTTTGTAATTAAAAGTGATATTTTTAGGGCCGGTTTTTCAATTGTAAAAATATTCTTAATGAAATTATCGTGTTACCATGACAACTATTTTAAATATTTCACGTTCGGAAAATACAATGGTCTTGTCAGCAAGGCGAAGGTTTCTGCATGCATGTATTTTCTTGTTTATATTATTTATTGCTGACCGGTATTTGCAAGAAACCTCGACCATAAAGACTTAATTAATAATATCGCTATTGCAGCTGTAAGGCATTGGCGTCTTGTTGATTGTTTTCTGTAGAGTCGAAACAGAGAGCTAATTGCTCCTCGTTTGCATTATTAATTGTTGGCGGGTTTCTTGGGGGGCCTCCACAATAAAAACATCATTAATGTTACTATTATCTCGCTGTATCGCTGTAGCGAATTGTTGATTGTCCACTATGTTGACAATGGGAACAATTATACTGCAATTACCATCGTTATCAGAATCATCAGCCGTGACCTCATTAATATGATTTATCTCAGAGGTTTCAACCTTCCTCTCCTTTTGAACAGTGCCCAGTTTTTGTTGAAGGGACCGGGTCGTCCTCAAGAAATTCTTCACGGGGGGGTGTAAGGTCATTTGAACCGACTGTACTGACGAACGAGCTTGTACCGACCACATGTTAGCCATGGAAGCTTGTAAAATTTCCGATGGAGCCATGGAGGTCAACTAAACTCAGGGATCGCGGAGCCATTTTTGGATTAAGGGGCTATGGCGAACGCCAAAGGCGTGATTAGAGAGGTTAAGATACCCCGGTTTCGGTGTACGGGTACGAGTAGTGTCATCTTGTTTTACTAATGTCTGTAATACGATCATAAGTTTTCTGTTTTTTTGCAATAGACAATGATATAATGCGAAAAATGTGCACCTTAATTACGAGTAAAGGTACAGACATCGACGAAAATATTGCTAACCAAACTCATGCTACCCGTACACGTACACCGAAACTGGGGTATCTTAACCTCTCCATTCTGTTAGGGGGGTCCGGAGGCATGCCCCTCCCTCGGGAAGTTACGAAATCTGAGACCTCTCAGAGTCCCGGAAATACAATCAAATTTACTAGTTGCTGTTAAAAAGTTTCTTAATAGACGACTCTTAATGTAATATTACTCGTCATTTGTTTAATCCAACCAGAAATAGATTGAATACTTAGTGGCTATATAAGTTATAAATATATTGTCTTGTTAATTGATCTGAAATATTTCAGTATTCTTAGTTTATAAAAATCACATATGTATGGAAAATTATTCCCCCCCCCCCTGCTCAGCGCTACCTGAAATTACGCCCATTGTGATCTAAATGAAGCATGAATTTTTTCTGTGCTGGTGTTGTGTACTCAGGTGAATAATATGTTTGTGATGTTACTCTGAGTGCATATCCACACCGGGCGAGCTTGAAAAATATGCCCGGCCACGGTGGGATTCGAACCTACGACCTTTGGAATACCAGCCCAATGCTCTTCCAACTGAGCTACGCGGTCAGGACAGTTCGAGTAAGTGATATTTCGGAACAGTATCTAGTTCCTTCAATACCAATGTGTTCTTGTAATATGAATTTTTTTTTCTGTGCTGGTGTTGTGTACTCAGGTGAATAATATGTTTGTGATGTTACTCTGAGTGCATATCCACACCGGGCGAGCTTGAAAAATATGCCCGGCCACGGTGGGATTCGAACCTACGACCTTTGGAATACCAGCCCAATGCTCTTCCAACTGAGCTACGCGGTCAGGACGGTTCGAGTATGTGATATTTCGAAACGAAAAAAAAAAATTCGTATTACAAGAACACATTGGTATTGAAGGAACTAGATACTGTTCCGAAATATCACATACTCGAACCGTCCTGACCGCGTAGCTCAGTTGGAAGAGCATTGGGCTGGTATTCCAAAGGTCGTAGGTTCGAATCCCACCGTGGCCGGGCATATTTTTCAAGCTCGCCCGGTGTGGATATGCACTCAGAGTAACATCACAAACATAAATGAAGCATGTTATAAACCGCCATATTTGATAATTGAGTTTTTGGCGACAACATATTGTGTTCAACGGTTCTACCTATCAAACATGCTACATATATTTCATTTAAGATCTTTTGTATCGCTATGTTTAATTGTAAGTCTGGGCTTGTTCACTAATGGATTATAATGATTATCCTGCTGAGTAAATTTCGAGCAAACAAAATTTCCGTTTCTTATATAACAGGAGAAAATCATATCGGTATAGTAGTTTTATTCGTCAAAAATATTTTTGTGTGCCGACTAAAATAGCAGTCCTGCCGACTGAAGCTTCAAATAAAATTTCTGGGGGTGTCACCCCCCCCCCCCCGTAGCTCCGGGATTGTGAAGGGATTTTATAACGTTTGATAGTTGTCTATCGATTTCCTTATTTTCCACGTCTAAAATAATAGCGAAATTCTTATCCCACCGCAGCACCGCTATATTGTAATCTACCATTTGCAAGGTCGGAGACGGTCTCCTTTATAAAGTCAATCTTTTTCAGATTAGTTAGTGATTAAATGTGCCCGAACGCCGAGAGGGAAATTTCTTGAGGGAAATTTCATATCATCACTAATCTGAATGCCATTCTAGCTACCGAGACAATAAAACGGTTTCTGACAAATGAAGCGATGAAGATAATTTATTAGTAAATGCGTGTATTGACTATTAAAAAAGCCGGTCGCAAATTAATATCGGAGGTTTGCACAGTGGCGGCGCCGGCACAGAGGTAGGGGGATTTAAGGGGCAAACTCATATTTTGTTTTGGGGGGGGCTAGATAAAATTTTTAAAAAGATACTGCTATTTGCCCATGCCGTTGTCATAGGACTTTCGCTCCCCCCAGGAGATTCGCCAGGGGGGGGACGAACACCCTAAGAATATCGCCCTCCTTTAGGATATTCCCCCCCCCCATATATGCGATGTGGTTTATTCAAATAATTTTGTGATATTTTCATCTAAAACTAGCCTTGCACGTTTGAGAATTTAACTCTGCAAAGCTAATGCTTTCTTGTCTTTTTTGAAACGTATTATTGGAGTATTGGCAAGTGTTGCCATTCAGACATTTACAAACTAATATTGAAACTGTAAAAAACAGTTTCATGTACACGCCCATTCACTAGTGAGTAATGACAATTTATAAGTCATACATTTTCCGATAACGACAAAACGCTTGTGTAGCCTTTACAGTAGTCGCTCTCAGTGACTAATACATTTTTTGAGGGGGGGGGGCAAAATGGAGGGGACAGAAAATAATTTGTGGGGCATTTTCCCACCCCCTTGCCCCCATGGCGCCGCCACTGTCTTTGCAGGGAGCAAATATGTTTAGACATTAAAATAAATCTATGAAATGTTATCTTTTGTGAATTAATTAAACGCCATCAATATAACAGGTTATGCTGAGGTAAAGGACGATTGGTAACTATATTAATCGTCCCGTGGGATTATTAGTTTCTAATCGTCCCTCGTGTTTTAGCAAGGAGGTAAATTACTGGTCATTAATTGTATTTTACGAGACAAAGGATTTCGAGGTGGCTACGATATTGATTAATTAAATCAGCTTCAAGGTAATTCAACAAAATAATTCAACAACTCTTTAGGGAGCATTCATTTTTTAGCTGGGGGGAGGGGGTGGGCCGGAGGAATTTGGGGGTGGGTCAGGCAATTTTGACATGCTTCAAAGGAGTGGGTCTTTTTATAGTTTTGGTATAAATGGAGGGGGTCATAAAAATAATCAGTGAAAAAATCACCAATATAATTTTATAGAATTTGGAAATATTTGGATCAAGAATGGTAAAAACGTCTAGAATCTATCAACTATCTCGTCGTCTATAACAATGAAGCAACATTCATTTGATGCTCTGTTCACACAGTCCATAGGAAAACATTTCCATGACATTCGTCAATTGACCTCGTTTTTATCTGTTTTTGTGTGAAAACATGAGTCTGCAGCCCCGCCCCCCCAATTAATTTGCTATTAATCATTCTTTTTTCAAAATCTGCAATGCAGACCTTTATCAATTTTAAGCTTTATTAATTTTAAGCGGCTACATTATCCATGACAAACTGCAAAGAATGAAGATATTACCCACAGTTTCCTGCAACTTGTCCTGATCATCCAATATATAGTTAATTAAATACGCCTTCGCCCATATAGTACTACCAAATTGTGAATTTCGACATACTAAAACGCTGTTTTCTGACCATCAGAATTCTGTCAAATCTTCCCCAAAGTCCAAAAAATGGCATTTCAAATTATCTTACATAAGACATGCCATACTGCAAATCCTCTGGAAATTGTTATAATTTGGCCTCTAAAAAGAAATATCCTTCATAACTTTATATAAATTATATTTGACTGTCTCATTTTGGCACTTCAGCCCTCAATCAAACATTATAAAAAACTTTTGTTTACATTCACATTTGTATTGTAATAACATTTTACTATTACTGTATTATTCAATCTTATTTTTATTTTAATTGTAAAATTCAATCACTCCATTTATATTTCAGTTGTAGAAAAAATGACCACATTCTCTGCTGATTTAAACTTCATTCCTCTGGTTGTGTACTATATGTACAGCAAAAGTTTTCTTTATATTTTGGTATTTGGTCATGCAACATTTATTATGGCAAAAAGTCAACATATTTATGGCCGATGCTCGTCGTATTCCCAAATCAGTGATGTTAGTTAAACAAATCTGTGTTCATGTTATTTTAAAGCTGAAGTATCATGCATCTGAAGAGAAAACTCCAACCAGAATAGCTCAGAATATCAAGTTTGTGATGACTATTTTCTTCTTAGAAACCGATTTTTTTCAATTTTCAAAGGATTTGCAGTATGGTATGTCTTATGTATGAATGTATGACTGTTGGATTTTAATAAAACACAAAAATATATTTAAAAATCCGTAAAACAGCTAGGACTTAAAATCGAAAATAAAATAGTGAGACAATCTCTCGTCTTCGTATATCTTTAGCCATTACTGCTTTGTTTTTCAGTCACTTTGACAACGTTCAAGAAGGAAATTGTATACTAAATTTTACCAACATACATTCAGAACATCAAGTCTTACCTACTGATTGATTTAAAAAAATAAAATTAGCGAAAACCTGCCGCTTTTGTGGGGGTTTCCTGGAGAAAAACCTTTCAAAACAAAACAAACAAGAAAATCGAAGACGAAGTGTTTATCCGCGTTTGACGTCACAAAATAGTAGAGACCTTACGATTTTAGGACGACAACGGCGACGGCCAAAACAAACTCCTTCAAATAAATAGTAGTCGATAGTTCGTCGTATATTATCAATCGTGTGAATTTAATACAGTTTTAGAAGTTAAAAACATGGATTTTATGTTTGCGAAGAGTTCTGCTAAACCCAGTTTCAGAGCCTGAAATAATTTTAAAATTTGTCCGGAAAAACTTCCGATCAAAACGAAATTTGACCGGAAATTTGCAAAATTGACCGGAATTTAGTTTAGTTTGACAAAGTCCTCCTCCCCAATGAGCAAACTCTGTCAAGCATGCAGACGTGCACTGAGTAAATCACTCTACTTGCAATGTAACCGTGTAGCGAAAATTCAAAATGGTCGTGAGCCGACGGGTGTTTTAAATTGATTGACGGGTGATTTAAATTGCAAATTATTAAGACTCACCACGCTGTAAGGCACCTTCTTGTTTATTGAGCCCGTGAACCAACCTAGTTCCTGGCCTTCTCGCTTTCGCCTCATTATTTTAGGGGGAAATCGATAAGGTTTGCAGGTTGACCGTGATAAAGCTGTATTATTTGGAGACTGGGGAAACTGACAGCCCGCAAGTTCACGACAGCCTGTAACTCGCCCGCGCTTGGAAGGCCAGGGACTAGGCTGCCCGTGAACTATACTTTCCAGTTGATTACTTTATATTAGCCTAATATAGATAATCCAAACTTACAGATGGTACTCACTGTGCTGAGCGCCGACCCGATCATTAAGAAAACATTTTTCTTTTTCTCAAAATTTGGCCGGACAAAATTTCCGATCATTTCAGCATTTGGTCGGAAAAATCGGAATTTGGTCGAAAAACCGCCGGCCGCCGGCCGTTATTTCAGGCTCTGCAGTTTGAAGTTGCACTTGTTGTGGCTTGGAATGCAGCCGTTGTATCAACACGTGAAAATCTGTGATTTGGCGTTGTAAACAGAGCGAGGACAATGTCTAAGTTATTTATTTATTGTAATTACTCAATTCTTTTCAATAATCTATTGTATTGGTAGCCGTTGCCGTCGGGTAGCCTCGCAGTAGCTCGGAAGAGTGATTTTCGTTGGCCCGATTTGACAATTGCTTTTGTGTTCATAACAATGAATTGCTTCGTTCTTTAGAAAACCTCCATCCAATTGGAGACGACCTTCCGAGGCACTGCGAGGCTTCCCTTGCTGTCGCGTTGCTGTCCTAAAATCGTAAGTTCTCTAGTATATGCACACTGACGCCATACTTATAATCCGGTTCAATAAAATTGCAAGTAAGTTTAGTTCAGTAGATAAAGTAAGGTTCACATAGGTAGGTTTGAAGATTTTACTATGATATTTTAATAAGTATTTTAAATTAAGTTGTGAACATATTTTAATATTGATCGATTGAACAGTGAATCGACTCGACCAGTGCGACAACGCCTTAAATAAACAGAATGTGAGAGCTGTAACGAGCTAGCAACGCCATCCCACACTTTTATAACTCAACGTTGATTGGCTGGATACAAATCACACTACTTGCTGGATCACGTGTACAAAGATCCCCTCAACCGTTAGTATAAAAGGGCGTGCACAACCCAAATTCGTCAGTGAAGTGAGTGGACGTAGACTTAGTAAAGCTCAATTGATGAAAAGCTACTGAAGCTCACACGAAACAAGACGAACAACGAATGCGTAGTAAAGACGAACTAAAAACAACGAAGA